CTGTCTGTCATGTCCTGAAGGACATTATAAGTTTTTCTTTCTTTTTTTTGAATAAAGATAACTGCAATAACTCATTAACCATGTATTTGAAACCCTAGCATTTTATCTTTCAGCTAATTTAGATCGTTGGTGATGCTTTCTCCTTAAATGTAAAAATTTATCTGCAAACTTCCCCAAAATTTGCATTTTAAAAATTTCCCTATTTATCACTTATATCCTATATTGTTTTTTTCTTATTTCTGTCAGTTGTTTATCTTTTGGATGTTCTATACTTTTTAAGTTAAATTTTTTAAATTAAAATTTTGAATGATTTTTTTCCCTTCATTTTATGTAATTAAGTATGCTTAGACTAAGTTGCTGACACCATATGATCTTTTGAGGAAGTTGTGTTCCCTTGTTTTCTCAGAGTCTTGTGTTTTGTTGTTGTGGTTTGTGCACCTTTGGGAGTGAATATGGTTTGCACACTGATGTGAGGATTTTAACATTGTTTCCTTCTACAGAGATCACTGGTCATAGTGCAGAATAAACCTCAGTAACAATATGGGAGCCAACTTCCCTCAATAATCATAAAGGGAATAATGAACTGATGAACAGGAGCTGGTGGTGTATACCTTTAGTCCCAGCATTTGGGAGGGAGAGGCAGGTGGATCTTTGAGTTCAAGGTCAGTCTGATCTACAGTGAGTTCTAATGACAGGCAGGCTACAAAGAAAAACTACATCTCAAATAAACAACAACATCATCATCAACAACAATGTACAGAAAGTGAGGTCAGAAAAAAGAGGAGAATAAGATAAAGAGCAAGAGATTAAAGTCACTATGTACCAGAGCATCATTCACTCTAAAGACCTCCCGCCTTTGTAGATTCTTCTCCACTGTTGGCCACAGAGGTCTCTGTGGGCTGTGGTCCAGGTTGGCACTTCCGTTTGTGGCCTTGTCTAAACAAAGCCATATCTACCAGATGCTTTGGGGGAAGTGGAGGTGGCAAACAGAGCATGGAGTTCCACAATGGAGAGAAATTTTGAGAGCTGAGCTGTTTGCCTAAGCATTTTCGATCCTATGCAGCAGCAAACCACCATGCAATGAGGAAGAAGTTGTGGAAATTGAGTAATTCTTTCACCCTGGTTATCAGTTCTCAGCCCCTGTCTGCTGCACACAAATTGAACCATGAGAAAGTTTCAGAAACCAATGAATCTGCCAGCCACCTGCTCTGAACTCTCAAGCTCAGCAGTCATCCAGAGGAGCCATGTCATTCTGGTTACAGGAGGCAGGGCTGCCTGTCCTCATTCCTCCACAGCCTGAGTTAGGAGTGTGTCTCAGTTACTCCCTCCTGCACTACTGTCCCTCATGGCTTCCTACCCACCAGGGCATCCCAGGGCACCATGACATGTGCTAGATGATTTTGGGTCCCACTACAGCTCAGACTCAGAGAATAGAAACTCCTGGTTCTAACTCTGTAAGAGAAGAGTTTATAGAGCTCAGGCTGCTCCTATCTGAGTTCCTTTGTGTTATACAGGACAGGAGTTTTCAGTGTGCCTTGCCCTGAGTGACTCCATTTATACAACAGTGATTTGCTTCATTTCTAAAATATATTCTGAGGCAAAATGAATGTTTACCTTCTGTGAGCAAGTGTCCGTCATATACAGTAGGACATACGTTGATAGATAACTCACCAATGCAAACTAATTATTCCTACCTACACACATATCAAGCCAGAAACACCTAGATCCATTGATTTTGGAAGAACTTGTCTAAGAAACAAAGCCTATGTGCTTGTCCTAAACATCAGAGCAATGAGGGCTGCAGTGCCCTCATTGGACCATACCCACTGAGCCACCATCAGCCCACCTGATGTGTGCATCACTAGATACAAGGCAACAAACTCTCAACTCTGTGTGTCCCCAGGCCTTCTGCTCACATGACCAGCCCGAAATGAAGTGTCACACTGGAGCTCCTATTTGTTCAGACTCCTTAAACCTGGAGTCAGCTCTGTGCTTTAAAGCAATCTGCCCTGTGAACCATCTCTCTATCTTGAACTGACACTGTGCCTTGAACCAACTGAGTATTTACTGACCACTCTGTTCCAGAACAGCTCTCCCTGCTGCTTGTGTATCAGCTCTGTTTTCCCATCCACAGCTCTTTTTTAACCCTTGCATCACTGTAAGCCTTTATGGGTGACACTGTGTATTGTGTGCTCAATGCAGTTTGTGATCTGAGAGACAATATTGGTCATTAGGATGAGAAGGAACCAGTTTACACTTGCCAAAAGTCACAAGCCTCAGAAGAAACAAAAGTACCTGGGAAATGAAAGTTGACTGGAAAGTTGATGCAGATTATGAATGCCTTGTTCTTCAATAATCTGACATGTGGATGACATACATGTACCCATCCAAGTTTTTCACATGATAGCTCCATGCCATTAATTGATCCACGGAATTTATTCCCAGTACTGCTCTGCCATGGAGGAGGAGCCAGTGTGAGGTCAAATACCTGTGCTGGATTTAAGTCTCATAGGAGTGATAGGTTTTTTTCCTGCCAGCCTGTCATTACCAGGGCAGCCTGTATTACCTTGGAGTTACTCCCCTGGCCTCACACATGTGGAACATGCACTGACTGGTACTCTCAGGCCATATCAGTCTTTCTCTATGTGCTGTTGTCTCCTTTCACAGGTGTTCTTGTATGGGAACTTCAGACCCTTTTGTCAAGTCCTGCAGACACCTTATGCTCCTGTGTAGCTCTCTTTCTTCCCACCTTGAAGATTCTTTTTTCATATGATTATCCTCATTCACAATGATTTCATTTCAGTATCAATCTTGTTTGTCTAGTTCTCCTTCTTGAGGTATCAGTGTTTAAGTGGTTGTTAAATACGTTTATTGAAATCTTAATTATGATTGTTTTAAAATAGACTTTCTGTCTTCTGATAAGAAATCTGTAATTCCTTTCTTTCTGTCTTTAAATATCAATTGTCACATTATTAATGATTGCTAATCACTGTCTGGATTAATTGTGAACTTCCCTCTAAGTTCTCACTTTAGGAATCTTTATCCTTGTTACTCCCATCCCTAGAATTCATAATTGAAATTTGGGATGATATTTTTGAAAGGAGTTATTTAACATTCTTCCAGCAATGTCTGAGTTGACTACACTGATGTAGCAGAGGTTTATGCTCATAGTTTGATTTGTCCTAATTCTCAAAGCCTCAACCTTCTGGATCTCGAGGCACAGGGTTTAGAGCATGCCATTTTTCTGAGGCTCCAGGTTTGTCTGGTGACAGACTGCTAATACTTTTACTAACAAATAACAAGGCTTTTGGTAGATGTGTTTAGCAAGTTTTATTTTCCTACCTTTTCTGGAGTTGGCCCTGTATGGGAGGTTTTCCTGTGCTTAAGGCAGGAGGGAAGGCAGTAGGGGGTTGGGTTCGCTTCCCTGCTGCTGTCCCTCAACCCTGGCTGCTTTGGTTGTCATCAGAGCTCTTCACACAGCTGCTCCCACCCTGCCTGCTTTAAGGGTGCTCCTGGAGGAGGCTTGCCTGGGCAGCTCACAGGCAGGAGCTCACTACCCAAAATGTCAGCTAATTAAAAAAAAATCTGGCTGTGTTGACTATGGCATTGTTTCATAAACTCAAGGCCTTACTTTAAAGAAGACTATACCTTGTGAAATGGGACATTTGAGTTTAATTTGTATTGTTTTTTTAATGGAAGTCTTAAACTGCTTAGCTACTGATTTGGTGTCCCTAATCCCTGTCATTTTGAAATCTAAGTCTTTCTAGATTTACAACATACTCATTATAGCAATGATGATGTCATCATTATCAGTTCCTCTTCTTGGCTATTTAAACATGCCTAATGGCCAAATGTACTGAAGTTGTAAATATTCAAAAATTTCTCCTGATCGCTATGCAACTTCAACTAATTATGTTAGTTGAACAAAATCTCTCTGTGTGTTTTTCTGTCTCTCTGCCCCCCTTCCTCCCTCTCCCCTCCACCCACAGAGCAGATATGGTAATGGTGGTCATGTATTCAGCCTCTGAACTTATAATATGCTTTTGAAGTAAGACAAATCTGCCCCATCATCTTCCCCCTTCTTTCTTTATGAATTATGAATAACATTTATACTCTACTCATTAGTGCTCATTTGTTTCTTAGGAATTTGGTGTCTAAGAGGAGTCTATATCCTCATGTCTGCTTCTCATTGGGTCCTCAGGTAATCACAGCGATAGGAACTAACTGTTCATCAGGGATATACCTATGGCTACACAGTTTAAACAATCCTTAAGTGTGCTGGTCTGCGTAATAATGTCTCTGTGGGCCGGGCGGTGGCGGCGCACGCCTTTAATCCCAGCACTCGGGAGGCAGAGGGAGGCGGATATCTGTGAGTTTGAGACTAGCCTGGTCTACAAGAGCTAGTTCCAGGACTGGCTCCAAAACCACAGAGAAACCCTGTCTCGAAAAGCCAATAATAATAATAATAGAAAGAGAAAAGAAAAACAAAAGAAACCAACAACATAGTTGGTTTCACTGTGTAGCCCCTGGTTGACCTCTTTGTAGACCAAAGTAGCCTCAAACTCTGAAGATCCAACTGCCTCTTATCTCCCAAGTACTGGAATTAAAGTTACTACCACATCTGGCATTTCAACATCTTAAAAAAAATCTATCAATGTGACCTTCAGCTGTTCACTTGTGCTGTGGGGTAGGAAAAGCAAAGGAGCTGAGCCCCACCCACCACCAGCTTCAGCTTCTCCCACCCCCAAGTCAAAACATGTATACATGACCTGGGATGAGACCTGTATGTACACCGAGGGCCTCGTGAAAGGCACTTGCCGTCCTCTTTTCTTCTGAGACAAGGTCTCACCACGTAACCTGTTGCCCTGAAACTCAGAGATCCACTTTCTTTTGCCCCCCAAGTGCTGGGAAGTCACCATCCTTACTGAAGGAACTCCAGCCCCAGCGAGGGTCTGCAGGTCAGCTGCTCACATGCTTCCTGGAGGTGGTTGGTNGGACAACCTTGGGCATTGATTTTAATCTTCTACCATACTGCAGACAGAGTCCCTCATTGCTCACTCCAGAGTATGCCAGGTCAGCTGCCTGCAGGATTCCTGGGATTCTCCTATCTCTGTCTTCCATCTCTCCATAGAGCATGGAGCTATAAGTGCCCATCACTGCACCCAACTTTACATAACTTCTAGGCCCTCACCCTTGCAAAGTAAGTGCTTCACTCAATGAACCATCCCCTAGCCTCACCTTTTCATACATACAGACAGATTCATGATCACAATGAAATTAATGAGATGGAAACTAAAAGAACAGCATGATGAATTAATGACACAAAATGTTGGTTTTTTGAAAATACAAACAAGTTTGATAAACCCATAAGCATATTATAAAAAAAATCACAAGAAATTATTTTAATTCAATAATTTGGGATGAAAATATAATATCAAAGACACACTGTTAAATTCAAAGTATGATGAAAGAATATTGAAAATTTAATTCCTAGAAATTCAATATTTAAAACATTTGTGTACACATCTATATGCACACATCCCCTCCCTAAACTGAAGTGAGCATTTATAACAGGCTGACTGGGTCAGTTACCACTGATGAGATGGAGGCAATGAGGAAGTCCCAACAGCAGAAAGTCCGGGTCCTCAAATATCTGCTCAAAATTCATTAAGAGCTAAAAAGAGCTAAAAGCAACATTCCACACATTGTTCCATGACATAGAGAAGCCATACTTCCAACTAATTCTGAGGACAGAGCACACATCTAAGATTTCCCCACGCAATCTGCATAGACTCTTCCTCCCGACCCCAACCATTGCAGCTGTTCTTGGGCACTGGTCACTTCTGTTCCCCAGCCTACAACTTCCACCATTGTCTTACTAAGAGGGGCATGGGATTGACACATTGTCTGGATATGAAATAACAAATGGGAGCATAGCTATGTTTTCTATAAGAATATAAGACTATGCCTTTTTCAATCTGAGTATTCACTACTCTGTTTTTGGACACAACTTGTGTTTTTGCTGCACCTATCCATCGATAAATAATATGCTCTATATGATGGATGTCTCCCAAATCTAAATTAAGTGAGTGTTAATTCCTTTATCATGATGAAGGAAATCATCATTTTGTATGTGTGTATTAGTTTTCAATTTTGAAATTTCAAATTTCAGTTTTTTGTTTGTTTGTCAGTGGGTTTGTTTATTTTTATTTTTCAATTTGTTTGTTGTCCTTCTAGGATTGGGTTTTGTTTATGAGTGTTAACTTGGCAACACTCTCCTGTCCTCTGAGTGCTTCTTTCTAGTCTTTGGATTTCTACTTGAGATGTATTGATTTTAGTTTGTTTCTTTTTTTAATAATAATGGCACTGCTATTTACATGCCACGAATCATTGGTTTCTTGTGATGAAGTTTATGAGGCAACAAGCAGGGCTATATGAAGATATGGATCATCAAACATTAGCAAAAAGCTGTTATGTACTTGACACATAAAGGCTTTATGTGTAATGGAGTCCTCCTGAGAACCTGCCACTTGCTTCAAAAACACTGAACTTAGATGCACCTGTTTCAATAAAGACAATTCCTTACATAATAAATAAAAGGGGTTTTGTGACTTCTGAGGCAATTTTCTGATGAGTTTCCACTAGCAATTGACGTCTTTTGTAAATAATAAGACCCTATTAATATTTTAATTTTATGAGTTTGTATTTATATTCTGTGTACAATTTCACCCAAATTCAACTGCATATTCAGTGTAAAATCTAAGCTATTATAACTCCCTTTTAATAGAAAAATTAATAAGTAAGATTTTGTGTTTACAGTGGGATCATGAAACCAGGACTCAATGCAATTATGGGTCCTCAAGATGGGAGCAGATCTTTGTGAGTATAATGGGAAGCATACAAAGTCCACAGTATACAGTTTCTGTGCTGTAAAAATCACTCCTATAGGAGTTATCTGAGTACTGTGTGAGTGTATGTGTGAGTGTGTACGTGTGAGTCTGGTACCATGTGCGGTGGGTAGTGTTCAGGAGGGTGCATTCTAATTTTACACCAAGAGCAGCAAGTCTTACTAGGTCACTTTACTGACAGGAAATGACTGTGATTGGCATGTGGTGTTGGGTCATATTATTATTTAATGTGTCAAGATAGTATTAAAATTAAGAAGATTAAGGAGAAGTTTTGTGGAAACAAGAAATCACCACCAGGCCTAATTCTCAAACTACAGCAGCACATTACCTGTTTGAGTCCCCAAGGTCAGATCGCAGGGAGAGGAGATCAGGTGAATCATGTGCTATATTCATAATTCTGGGATGTATTACAGCACATAATGAACAGAGAGAGAGAGAGAGAGAGAGAGAGAGAGAGAGAGAGAGAGAGAGAGAGAGAAGGAGGGGGTATTTTTTTGCCATTTGATAAGCAGAAATTTTACTCTGAGTATCTGAAAGCTGACAGCTGTTACTGAAAGGAGGATGTAAACCACACAACATATGTAACCCTTATAGGTTGTTAGATGTCTTAGCTGCAAGGAAAGATCCACGTGGATTATCGGGAGATATTTTGATAAATGGAAAACCTCGACCTGCTAATTTCACGTGTACTTCTGGTTATGTGCCACAAGTAAGTGTTGGTGGGTTTGTAATTTTAGGTTTCCCCTGATTCTAAATTGTGTTAGCCTGAGGGTGGCATTATTAAGTAGGAAGATGTGGAGAGATTGGAGTATGACATCTGAAGCACAGTACTAGTAATTGCAGGTGTGATTTAATTCTACAAAGGTCTTCTGTTGTCCGATTTTGCCTTTCCTTAAGCTTTCTCCATGGCTTAGATGTTCTCTGCAAGTATTTGCAGGTACTATCACCAAAATTCCTGTACTCTACTTGGAAGTCAAATGAGAGGGGGGTGAAAATCATTTTAAATACATCAGCTTCTGTTTTTAAAATTACTAAAACCTGAAAGACTATTTTTAAGTAAAACATTAAGTTTGGATTTATTATATATGACTAGGTTACATATATTAGAGTGATGGGCTTATTGATAACTATCCATAATTAAATTCAAACTTCCTGTTAACCTTAAGAATGACACAGTGATGCGCACGGTGACTGTGAGAGACAACATAGAGTTCTCAGCTGCTCTTCGACTGCCAATGACTATGACAAAAGATGAAAAAAGAAGGCGAATTGATGAGGTCCTTGAACTTCTGCATCTGGATAAAGTCTCAAATGCCCAGGTAATGTGAAGAAAAGGCTTGAAAGACTCAGAGTCAAAAATGTAAATGAGAGAGAGAGGCAGAGAAAGGGGGAGGGAGAGAGAGAGGGAGGGAGAAAGGGAGAGAGAGAGGGAGGAGCTGAGAGAAAGAGAGAGACAGAGAGATATAAATCCATGTGTGAATAATATAACATTCTATCAGCAGTTTCCTATAATGTGTGTGGTCAAGGTGGTTGCTTTTTGCATTAATGAGTAAGTAACTGGTTACATGAAGTAAAGTGGAAATTGAACTGGGAAACCTTAATAATGCTTAAGCCTGGTAATAGAGTATAATCGAGCAGGGAAGAGTGTCCCTCACATGGCCATTTCCAAATGCTCCTCACATGAGCCTCCTCTTCCCTCATCCTTAAACTCTTGACTTTAGAGAATTTGATAAGTGCTTTCTTTTGTTTATTGTCTCTTCCCCTAGAGGACTTGACCCTTGTTGTTCCAGAATGTGCTTCTGCACTGACACAGGACATGCAATGGAGAACTCTGGCTCTGTGTTCACTCTGCATTTATTTCCCTCCAGGGTTGTCCTTGGATCCTTTAGCTTTTACTTCTCTCTTGTGTGGTATTTGTTATTTTCTGTAGTCTTTCTTTTTGTGTTTTTATCTTATCCTGTCTGTGGTGCCCAGTTTTAACTGTCAGCTTGACACAATCTAGAATTATTTAGAAGAGAGTCTCAATGAGGAACTGTAGTCAGGTTGACTTGTAAGCATTTCTGTAGGTGATTGTCTTGATTAAGTTAGTCCATGTGGAAAGACCCAGCCCAATGCAGGCAGCGCTATTGTTTGGATTTATTGAGTTTATCACTTACAGGCATGCATGCATTCATCCTCTCTGTGCTCCTTACTGGATGTACCTAGCTGCATCAGCTTCCTGCCTTGGTTTCCCTGCAATGGTTTACTGTAGTTTTAAACTGTGTTCTGAAATAAAAAACTTTGTTCTTTGTTTACTTTTTATCTTATCAACTGTACAGAAACTAGGGTACACTTTGCCCTTGCTCCCTGCTTCCTTATCTTCTGTTAATATTTGTTCTCAGACCCTGTGTAAGGTTTTATAGATACAATCACGTGCAAGTTGTGCAAATCAATGGATCAAGGGACTCTTCCTGCTAAGACTTTTACAGGATGAGGAAAGGTAACAGAAAGTTGTTGAGCTTCATAGCTGACTGTTGTAATAGCTTACTAGATTTTTACTGACATATTAAAAAGAATATTTATAGTATTTCATCTCTGAATTCCTCATTTTTTGTCCATAAAAATGAGGACATTTCTTTATCTTAGCAATTCTATTCTTAACTATCAAAGTGAACAAATTCTTAATATCCTCAGCCCTGTCTAATCTATAATCATTTGTAATTGCCAATTTTTTATTATTTCATTGTTTAAAGAATCTGATCAAGCATTTAATTTATTATATACACTGAGTTTTCCAACATTAGGGTTGTTTCCCTCTTCTTGTGTCCTCCAAACTGTCCTGCCCCTCGCAATGACATCAAGTCACTGAGAAGATTATATATAGATGCCTGCTGAGCAGACATATGGTTTGGGCTCCCTAGAATAGGATTCTCATGAATTAATTCCTGTAGTGTCTCTTCCTTAGAGGCAGTGAGGAATAGGAAGGTATTGGCTATTGATTTCCATGATCCTCTCCATAGTTGTTTATGATGTTTGTGTTATTGAGAATAATAATAGAAAAACTGACATTTACCATACTTTCTTTTTTTCTGAGTGATGGAATTTTGTGTGCTTTGCTCTGTTTATTTACATGGTTTTATGTTTACAATAAGGTCATTTTTTGTTTTATTTTTACCAATAGTTAGTCATTGATCTCAGTTGCTTATTTGTTTTATAAGCAACAACATACAAAGATATTTATTAATTTCTTGAAATTCATGCAATGGAATAGGTTGTAAGAATTTTAATATAATTTCTTAATGATAGCTTTCAAAAAGTGGAGTGCACATGTGCATGCTTTCACTGTGTGTGTGTGTGCGCGTGCACGCGTGAGTGAGTGTTGCTAGAGACCATTCATTCCTGGCCTCTCTGACCCAAAATAATCACACAGAAACCATATTATTTTCAATACTGTTTGACCAATAGCTTAAGTGTATTTCTAGCTAGCTCTTAGATTCTAAACTAACTCATCTCCATTAATCTGTGCATCACCATGAGGTCGTGGCCTACCATCAGGCTCCTGCATAAGCTTCTGCCTCCTGTGGTGGCTACATGGCTTCTCCCTGACTTCACCTACTCTTTCTCTACATCTCTGTTCAGATTGCTCCCCTCGGCTTTACTCTGTTAAGCCAATGGCTGAAAGCAACTTTATTCAATAAAAGCAACACAAATACAGAATGGCTTCCCTCACCATTTTCCCTTTTCCATCTAAATAAAAAAGAAACCTTTAACTTTAACATAGCAAGATAACATACAACAAAACAGTTATCAAGCAAGAATTATAGTTATAATATTTATATCTACTTTATCTTTTATCATAACTAAGAAAAACTATAACTATATATTCTTTAACTCCATCAAAGACTCCAGAAGGAGATGATATTACCTAAATTAACAGGAAGTGCAATGTAAGCAACTTACAAAACTCTAGAATTGACAGAGACATCACTCTTATATGAAGCAGGAGCCATGAAGGATCATCTCATATTTAGACAAGTTCAACAATCATTTTTCTGTGAGTCCTGAATGTCCAGTTCATACAGCATAACATCAAGCAGTCCAGCCAAGAATAGGTTCTTGCCCCAATGGCTAGCAAACTCTATAAGGAACCTTTTTGATGCCCATCATCCCCTTGAAGTAGATTGGTGCTGCCAGGAGCAGAAGTGTCTCATTGTCATGTAAAGTCCTAAGTTCTTAAAATATTTTAAATGCCATAATCTGTTAGTCTTTGAAAGGTTTGAAGAATACTCCATCTGAAATATATCTCTGTACATCTAGAAAACCTAACTAATATGACTACTGTTGACTATTATAAATGATTATCTATTAACCTGTACTTCTTAATTATACATTAAATTTTTGATTGAGCTGCATAAACACAATACATTAATCAAGAGCAAAAATATGTATATATAATAATATTTACCTTAAATTTGTATCAATAGACTAAGATCCATACCAATACAGGTATTCATCTCTAAAGCATACCCCCCTTTAAATGTAAACAAACATTTATAAATAATCATTTAGGGAATTTTGGCATAGTTCTCTCCAAACTGCTTCCTGCTTTTTGTTGGACAAAGTAATTTTGGTCATTTACAGAGACAATTGATGGTGTCTGGGTCCATTAGTCAGAAAGGAATTCACAGATTCTCATCCTCTGTGGAAACAAAAGAAGAACCTCGTGTTCAAAGCAACAAATCCTTAGATCAAATTTTGAAGTCAAGATACCTTTAAAATCTATATGTTGGTTTAGCTTAGCAGCCCATACAATGAAATGTCTCTCTGTACTTACCTCCTTTATAGTCAAAAAATTCAAAGAAAATACAATAATATACATAATCCATACTCTCTGCTTATATTCCATTTTTATATGGGTTATTTGCTTTTACTCTATTACTTTTTAATATTTACTTTTTTATCTTCACTTCTTTAATATATCACTGTCTGTACTCTGGCTCTTGAAAGATATTGTTTTTATTTTTTAAAACCATTTACTTCCTTCTATAACTGTCTACATTCTTTTTCTTCTCTCCCCCAAGCCTATGTAAATTTATTCAACACTGTAATCCACTTAGAGGTATATATCTGTCTGAATCTGTCTTTATTGCATATTTGTAATTATTTTCTGACCAGGAACACTTTTATTAAATGCTAAGCATTTAATAAATCTTAAATAAATAAATAAATAAATAAATAAATAAATAATATAAAAAAATCTTAAAGGAGTTAAAAAGTTCCTAATAAGGCAATGTGGAATTTTTGCTTAAAAAAAAAAGTGTCTGTCTGTGTGCCTGTGAATTGGTGTGTTGTATGTGTTCCAGTGTGTCAGTGTGTTGTATTTTGTATGTGTTGTGTAATATGTGTGCATTTGTGTGTGTTGTGTAGTATGTGATGTAGTGTTGTAGAGATTGCCTATGTCTTGTGTTTCTTGGGAGAGTGTGCAATAACTACTAAATTACTAGATATACTTCTCCTGTCGCATCTTGCTCATTCCTTAAACATAGATTTCACTGTGCCAGGGTTTGATTGTAATAAATCATTACCCTAGAATATGTGACTCGATAAAAAAATAAACAGTAACTGTCATTAGCATGGGCTAATGTCAAGTCTGACCTCTGCTTCTTTCTACTTACTTGGAAAAGTAAAACTTCCTTCTTCTCCCAGGTGCCCATCATTTTTTTCCTCAGGATAATTATATAACAAAATCTTTTATTGCTTGAACAAGCTCATTCTCCAAATGACAATGACCTTGGATGTTCTTGTTGATAATGATGGTCATTATTGCTATAGCCTAGATCTAAAGAGCTCAGGAAAAGGACCAGTATAGCGATGGAGCTGGTTGCCGAGCATCCCATTTTGTTCTTGGATGATCCCACCTCTTGCTTAGACTTGAGAACTACTAGTGATGTCATCTCGGTCCTGAAAATGTAAGTACCATAGGAAAATTGAGTTTTATTCACTTAATAACTGGTTGCTTGTGTGTATTTTTGGTACAAGAGATCCAGATGTAAGTAACAGAATGTGTTCTTGTTTATTATAAGGAAATTTAAATTAACAAGGAATACCCACCAAGAGCAATGAGAAAAAAGAGTACTGTATGGAGGAAAACTCATTTGTTTTGAGGCAAAGCATGTTTGGTGTGTCTGAAACATAAAGAGACCACGTTGACCAGAACCCAGTGGTCTGGGGGTATGGAAAGTTGCTAGTGCATTGAGACACGACATACTGACTGGGTGACTTGACAGAAGTTAAATTTCTTACAGTTCTTAATCCTGGAAGTCAGATATTAAGGTATCCACAGACTGTATCTACTGAGGCCTGGGTCACTGAATTGTAGAGGGCATTGCCTCCCTGTATATGTGTTTATGCCTTGATCTCTTAAATGGACACCTGTTACATTAGGACACCCTAGTTTCCAATTATATCCACGTTTTATTTTCTTATATGTGAAGTCTTCAACAAATAAGTCTTTAGAATGATACAATTCTTCACTCCACATTCCTATTTAAAGTGAGGGGTTTGGTTGGTTGGATGTAGATTGCCTAGACCCTCTGGGCCACTGTAAGTACTAATGTTTTCCATGGCAGGGGATGTGGGAAAGCGTCTGAGTTTAGAGCAGAGCAATGCATCATAGAGAAGGTTCTGCAGCTGCACGATGGGGATGTAAAATGTCAGCAGGAGGCTGAGATGTAGGGTTTCCTTATTTTCACACCAGTTTTAAGCACTGTTTTTGGTTATTGGTGCTCGTACAGATTTTATGAAATGGTAGTTCAGCTTATTTTTTCCTATCATGGAATTAAACCAATAATCAATCCCAGGATTGACCCACTCTAATTGATCACTTGTTCCATTGCTAGACCTTTTAAACCTTATCAACAGAGAGAGGGAAATTATATTAGAATCACCTCATGCTGATATTGTGAAAGTTGAAATGAGATTATTGCTGAAGTGTTTAGAGGGAGAGCAAGTGGTTAGGAAAATGATTCATATCATAAAACAGTGAACACCAATTCCTGAAGAGGCTGGTGCGTGATTGAGGGGAATTGTGCTTACAGTCACAGTTGTAGTGTTTGCGCTGTCACTGGTTCTCAAGCCTGAGTGATGTTGTCAGTCACCTGGGCAGCCTGTTCATGAATGGATTCTCTGCACTGACTCCCAGGTACTTCGGTACAGTGTCTGAGAAGACTGCACAGGGATCTACATAGTAACACTTGAGTGAACTACTGAATTCTCCCACTTTGGGGGTTCTAGTCTTTTAAATAAAAGCTTTAGCTTGGTTTCTCTATCAGGTGCATAATACAAGTGAGATGAGGTATTTTTAGGAAAATTCAAGCTGAAATGGAAACAGCTTTCAGGAATAAAATATTTTGTCAAGAATCTCAAAATTCTTCTGTCCAGTGACTTTTCCTTTCTTTGAACTTAGGATGTCTAGGAGGGGACGGACAATCATCTTCTCCATTTATCGGCCCCCATACTCCATCTTCAGACTGTTTGACAGCCTCACCTTAGTGGCCTCAGGAAAAGTTATGTTTCACGGGCCTGCGCAGGAGGCTTTGGAGTACTTCAAATCTGCAGGTATGGCTGGCTTTGGCTGTGAGAGCCCTTCATTCATGGGATCTGGGACAGCACAGGGGTTCTTAGGAATGCTACTTGACCCTCGTGCAGGCTCACTGTATCGTGCCTGTGTCATAGGATTTTTACTGAGCCTCTTATTCTGCTTCTCAGTGTGGTGACCCTCTTAATTAACTTGTCGGCTCTGGCCCAGTTATCCATCACTTGAGCAGCTTTGAAAAGGCCCGACATCATCATATTCAGGCTCACATAGCAAAAGGTGTCCTGATTCTGAGGAGGTGTGGAGGAGACCTTACTTAACCTGGTAGTAACTTTGCATTTCAGGTTTAGGCAATGTTTAGGAGGCTCAAGGCTTGCTTCTGTGGACTCATGTTTTTGTTCTGCCTGGTTTTTACACACTCAGATTCGATGATAAAATATTTTTTAATGGTTCATGTCATCAATTTCATCTTAGAGAAATGTGAATGCATTTATGATTATCTTTGACAACAAATATAAATTAAAATATTTGCTGTCCATTGTTCTCTGTTTTTGCTTAATTTTTGTCATTTAAAAATTTGTGAACATTTGTGCATCTATGGAGTCCAATAAAAATTTAGGCCTAATTTAAATGACTCTTTCAAAGGAAGATTTCACATGTCTATGCCTATGTCTAGTCTAGGTCTATGACCAAAAACATATGTATATGATACATACTGTACACAATAGAGACTGTGAACAGAGATTATTGCACTATTATAAGTGTATATATAATAGGAAAGGATAAGTAGTGGGGGAAGAGAAAGAAAAAGAAGTTCTTAGATTCTGTCTCCCCAACCTTTCCTGTGCTTTGGAAGAGGGTCTTTACATTTGTGATCTTGGTCTGCCTTTTTCGTAGGTTACAACTATGAGTCTCACAACAACCATGCAGACTTTTTCCTCGACATCATTAATGGAGGTTTCTCTGCTCTACTAGACACAGAGGAAGATGGCCATGATGGTATATGAGTTTTCTAGAGTCATAAATTTTTGTCTAACTTATTTCATTAAAACAAAACCATGAGTCTCATTTGAATATATATTTTATATTAATTAACTGTCCTAAAATTAGCTGATGGACATTCGTATAGTTAGTGTTGGGTGTTTCTTTTATTTAATTTACAAAAAAAACATTTGCATGATATTGTCACAAGGGAAATTTTGGGTTAAAAGTAAATATCCCTCTTGTCAAGTTATTCTTTCTACTGTTTTAGATAGGGTGTGCTTACATAGACAGTCTGGCCTAAATGTGTGTTCTTTCTTCCTCACCTACCAAGTGTAGGTATTACAGAACTATGTCACTATACCTTCCTTTGTTTATAGCATTAGATACTTGGCAATTTTATATTTGCATATACATTTGCATATATATTCACTTGAAGCAAATAGCAGAAAACAGACATATAGATCCATCAGAGAAGGAGGACTTTGAGAATTGGGATCTGGTTTGGAAAAGGCTATTCGGTTTGTTGTATCCATTGGGTAATGACAGTAGTCAGGTCACTTTTCTACTCTGTAAAGAATTATACAAGAGTAATATTTTTTATTCTCAAAACATGATGGGTTGAAGATGTAACTCATCTGGGAGAGCGCTTGCCTAGTACACACAAAGCCATGAATTAGGTTCCTAGCAGTACATAGCAGAGTATGAAGATTCATGCCTGTAATTGCAGCACTTGAGACAGAAACAGGAAGACCTGGAGAAGTTTAAGGTCACCTTCAGCTTTCATAGCAACTTTACAGGCTGTCTAGCTACATGAGACTGTCTCAAAGAAAAACTGACACATAAATTATGTTATTCATGAAAAGTGTCTCAGAAAAATCAGATAAATTATTGTCTGTTTCTTGTCTTTATTCTCCTTTATCCCAAAGTTGAGAAAGATAAAGAGCTTTCCGAGAGACAGCACCAAGTCAGAGAAAACTTAGCCAATATGTATGCCCAGTCTCCCTTATACAGCAAAATGAGAACTGAACTGGATCCACTCTTGGAGGAACAAACGGCAAGAAGGAGCTCAGCCTTGGGGGAGATCACGTGTGTCACCCCTTTCTGGCATCAGCTTGGATGGATTATCCACCGTTCATTTAAAAATATCAAGGGTTTTTCACGGATCATTATAATTAAGGTAATCTGATGAGTTATTTTAATTGTATTGTGAAAAACTCACATGGAAGCAATTTGTTTCTGAGTCTGTCTACTGCAGGGTCACACTTATCTTCTGCTCCCTTCCATGTGTTTGTCATCTCCACTCTGCCTGGCATAGAGACATATCCAATAAAGCAAGTAGACGGCTATTAAGGTTTTACTTATGGAAAAGATTTTTAGTGTTTTTTTTTTTTATTAATAGGAACTGTAATGACTAATCCAAGTAGAAGACTAAATTCAGGAAATGACAAAAAGTAACTCAGCACACCTTGGAGTTCCTCATACCTGTCTGCTTTATTTCAGCAGCACATCCTACAAGTTCAAAATCTAGGAATGAGTCAAGGAGTAAAAGGCATTTTTCTTTATGTAGCGTTCCTTGTGATGGGGTGGGTTGTAACTGGATAAATAGATAAAACTGTAGCCTGTCAGATGAGAGAATGGACTTGGAGAAGGTTTAAGTAGAGAAGGGTGGAGATGACTGGAGAGGGAAAGGACGGGTGATCTGTGGTTGAAATCATGTGGTGAGGAGACAGGGCCATAGAACAGCTCTGAGGGAGCTGAGCATCCACTGACTGCCTGAGATGAGCCAGCTGCAGAGTGCTGTTCCCTCATCAGGAGTCCAGTGTGTGAAAGAAGCAGCTACGCAAAGAGTGCAGCTCACACACACAGTAACTGGACTGCACAATGCTCTTCCCTGTCAGCCACTGGAACTGGGAGGAGGTGAAGTTCTACTTTACGGCTCTGTAACAAGGATCATCATGACTTACGATTTTGTTGTTTTAACCTCAATGTCACACATATATGTGGTTCTTTCAGATCACTGGACCACTGCTTATTCAGTTATATTTTATTTTATGATGATGTTGATTCTGTCGTGTTAGTGTTTGATCCTGGCCCAGGCCATGACCATTAAAGGGCAATCCTTCTACTGTGACCTACACCCCTGTCCCTGTCCAACCAGAATCTATAGTCAGTTCTGCTGTAAGTGTTCTGTTAGTTTATTCTCAGGCATTTAGTTTCTATTGAATACTGAAAGGTCATGTACTGTTGACTTTAATGAACACCACTTACTTCTTAACATGTGAGCTGCCCTTCTCATATTTTAATGTTGCTTTCTTCTCTGTGTGTATGTGAATATTCTGACCATTTGAGTTATACTGTCAACTGCTCCAAATACTTTGTTCTTTATACTTGGGCATTTGTGTCATAAAAGGGGAGCATTTTTATGTCACATTTTTTGACAACAAAAAATGGATATGATTTAGAAATGGGTGGGTTACATTCATTAAATGGATTACTCATTGTTTAATACTGAGGCAGTATCATAAGGTAAGTAGTGTATGTGTTTATGTCTATGTGTGTGAGTGTTTTAGCAAATTGCAATTAGGAATTAAAGACTTTTTTTTTCAATTTTTATTTATTTATTTTTTGTATATGAGTATTTTGCCTGTATGTTTAACTTTTTATCATGTGCATGCCCACGGTGGCCAAAAGAAGGCATCAGAACCTCTGAAACTGGAGCTTCACATGGTTGTGAAGGATCATTAGGGTGCTGGGAACTGAATCCCAGGTTCTCTGCAAGAGCAGCAAGTGCTCTTAACTGCTGAGCCTTATCTTCAAGCCCTGGGATTTTGGTTTCTAATTTATCAAGTTACATGTTAGAGTGCTTTCCTTAGATCATAATATTCTACTTCTAAAACATTATCAGAGCAATAATGGAGTCTTTCAAATAAGTTGCAGCATCATGTAGTCTTGCTCCTTTACGAAGTGAAGTACCATTTAAAGCCATTTTAGCCCAAAACAAAACAAAGCGGTGCAGGCTCCTTGTGATTGTCTGCACAGACTGAGTAGATGGAGTAGATGAAGGTCTGGAAGAGCTGGCAGCTTAGATGAGACTTGAGCCCAAGGTGGTCTGATTAAGGCTGATGGATCATCAATCACTGATATGATGGTCAAGGGGAGCATCGAGAGACCCAGAGGATGCTGTATGAAAACTTTGGTGATAGCAATAGTGCTGGTTCCCACGCAGGCACTGAATTCCCTGAGGTGACACAGGTGAGGACCACCTCACCCCTTCTTAGCACACAAAATGCCCATTACTGGGAACTGTGTTGTGAGTCATTTTTAATTTCATTATTTGGTTTGCACTTGAGGGAATTAGCATCTAGTGTATGTTGTGAGGGCTCTGCCACTGAGCTTCCCTTCTGGCCTGGGGTGCACTATAAGAGTAAAGAAATCATGAACTAGTTTGAGCCACTTGAAGTAGAAAACTGCTGGCACCAGAGCTGAGACCTCAGTTTAGGTGAAGACTTTCTGTCTCTTAACTGTGTTTGTTCCCTAAGCTCCCCAGGTGCCTGCATTCTCTCCCACCCTGTATCATCCAGGTTTTAGTACCTGAACTGAGTCCTTCACTGTCCATTCCTGCTAGAGCACTAGGAGAAGTCTTAGCTTTCCGGAGTCTACTGTTGGAGCCTCAGATTTCAAAGAACTTCATTTTCAGTTTAACATACGAGCAGTCTAGTAACACATGTGTTTTGTATTCTTCTAGGAATTCTGGTTAAAATATAGTGTTTATCTCACTGGAGAGATCTGATCAGGAAACCATATATCTTAAGATAATCAGCAGTGTGTAGAATACTACTTTCCTCTAATGTAAACTTCTTCCCTGTATTTTTTTTGAAAGGCAACTATCACAGCCATAGTGGCTATCATTTTGGGTACAGTTTTCCATGTCCTACGAAATGATTGCACTGCAGTCCAGGGAAGGTAAGAAATTGAGAAAATGCTGTTACTTTGATCAAGCTTATATAAATCCATCAAGAATTGTAATTCATGATAAGAACAGAGTTATGTTCTATCATGTTGTAGAGTGTACACTGAAGGGTGAATGGAAGAACTCAGTCTTTCACATATGTTTGTGTGTAGATAGTATGAAACTATACACTCCATACATTTCACATTTTACCAGTTTTATTGTATGGAGTAGCTTCATGTTATGCGACTATCACCACACTTGATGTGTAGGTAATTTTTCATCTTTTTAAATGGAATCCTGCATTTCTGAAAGAAGACTCCCCACACTACTCTCTCCTTATTCCTGGCATCAACCATTTTATTTTCTGTCATTGAACATGACTAACGTGGGAACCCTCAATTGGAGTCACATAAGTATCTATGTTCTGCTGTTGTTTTGATGTGGATTTTGTTTTTTTTTTTTTTTTGGCTGTCTTCTTTCCATTAGTGTAATGTCCTCAGGGCTCCTCTAAGTGTGGCATGTATGGGGATTCCTTAGGTTCTGTAAGGCAGAATAATAATCTATTTTGTGAATATGCCAGGTTGCTTCCCATTCATTGTGGATGAAAATGTGGTTCGCTGTCATCTTTGTCTACTATGAACCATGTTGCTGAGCCTGAAAGTCCATCTGTTTGAGCTCTGGCATTTTGCTCTTTAAGGTAGAAAGCTAGAATTGCCAAATCATAGGCCATTGTGTTAATTGTTTGAGGAACTGCTATCCTGTCTCAAACTCTACTGTGCTATTTTAAATCCTCACCAGCAGAACACGAGGGCTTCAGTATGTCCACATCCTCACCCAAACTTATGTTCTTTCTTGTTTTAGATAAGATATCTAAGAAAAATAAATCACATTCCATTGTATAGTTTATGAAGTGTCTGTATAACCCATTTTTTCATTTTAAGATGGAATGTTTCCTTTTCACTCCAAGATTATTTATTAATTTATTTAGCATATGTATGTGTGTGAGCATGTGTGTTCTACACCAAGCACATGGAAGTCAGAGGACAATGGAGAAGAGCTAATCCCTCCACCACAAAGGTTCCAGGGATTATACTCAAGGACATCAAGCTTGGCAGCAGTCATCACAGCTTCTGAGCCATCTCACTGACCCTTAATTTTTCTCTACTAAGTTATAGGTTTTTTTTTTAATTTCTAAGATGTGAATTTCCCAACAGATAAATGATCCACATATATTTCTTCTCTTTTGAATATTTTAAAATTCTGTTTATAATGTTTTAACTTAAATTTTAAAATCAAGGCATTTTCAAAATATATGTGTTCAATTGATACAACATCGTTTATAAACAAATGTCTTTTAGCAGCTGTTGCTCCTTCCTCAGACATCAAACAATTCAAAGACAACACACTAACATAGAGTATCCAAATTCTCTGTGTATTTTCCATCATCATGTGACTTTATTTTAAACTCTATTTTTTTATTTTTATTTTTACTTTTTGGCTTCTTGAGACAAGGATTCTCTGTGTATGTTTGGTTGTCCTGGTACTCTGTAGACAGGCTGTCCTTGAACTCCCAGAGATCTACCTATCTCTGACTCCCAAGTGTTGGGATTAAAGGTGTGTGCCACCACATCCAACTACTCTATTTTTTTCTTTTAAGATTTTTATTCTTTTTTTTCTCCTAAGCCTACATATATTTTTAAATACACAGTAAACTGTTTAGAGGTTTTCTTCAACTTTGAATTTATCTTTACTATGTGTCTCTCTTTTTCTGACCACATGAGTCTTTAACTTACTAAGCAATATGGCTAGGTGTAACACCCGATTTCGGTGTTACACCCTCGGTACAGTTCTCGCGCAGCTGTACCGAATGCGAGTTCGGGCAAGGACCTGGAGATTGAACACAAGACACAGAGACCAGGGTCATTCGATAGGAGATCAAGAGAATGCCGTTTATTCAGACTTGGGGAAGCCCTTATCTACCTAACTGCAGCACAAAGATCTCTCGCCTAGGTAGGTGGGAAATTACCATATTAACAATGGAGAAGATTCCAAGTAGCTTATCATCCAGGCGGGGCAGGGTTGGCAGGGAAACACACAGGAAGCTTAGTTAACTGATTATAAACTGTCCCCGCCAATGCACCCCAGGAATAAGGGAGACCAGGGGCCCACAGCTAGGATTAAAGCCATGGATTTGATGACTGGATCCTCCCATTACTTAGCGTCTTTCTGAGAGTCTAGCCTCATGGCAGAGATACTGGCCAAAGCCATGTTTATTGCCACAACTCTGGCATTTCAAAGTCCCTTCCACAACCAAAAAGTGTACAGTCAACTTTTCATCAACACTATTTAAGTGTTTCACAACAGGACCTTTTAAAAGAGCTGCAAAAGCTGATTCAGGAGGCCTCTCTAAAATGAGAGTGTTTGCCTCTAGCAAGCAAAGTCCACCCAAGAAAGTACTGCTATCAGGAAGCCATGTTTAACTCTATTCTTTTCTATCTAGAATAGCTTCCCAAGCTCTCTCAGGCTTTTAAGTGGATTTGATCAGCCCCACTTGGGCACGACATTCTATTGACTTAGGTTTCTGTCCTGCCAGTTCCTACAGTCGTTAAGTTCCGAAGAAATCACACAGAGATCTACATTAATTATAAACTTATTGGCCTAGTATCTCAGGCTTCTAACTAATATTAGCTCATAATTCTTGTCTGTATTAGCAACGTGACTTGGTACCATTTTTGGTGAGGCAGTCACATCTTGCTTGCTCTGTGTCTGGCTTCCTCTCTGTCTGGGTGACAACTGCAGACTGAGTTCTCATTGCCCTGCCTATACTTCCTGTCTAGCTGCTGACCAGTCACCATTTATTTAAAATACAAGTGACAGAGTACAGACTAGCATCGTCCCACAGCATAAGTGTTTGGTGGTAGGGGTCTCTTAAAAGAGCTGCATGGTTTTTGCAGCTAAAGCTGAGTAAGAAAGCCTGTATTAAAGGAGACATGCTTTTCCCTAGCAAACAGAGCCCACCTGAGAAAATGCTGCTATCAAGAAGCCATGCTTTACTCTGTTCCTTTGTGTCAAGAATTACTTCCCAAGCTCTCTCAGGTAGTATGTGGATGTAGTTTTCCACATTGGCACTATCTGATGACTAAGGTTTCTATCCCACTTGGTCTCATAGAAAGTCCCAAAGAAACACACAGAAGCCCACATTAATTATAAACTGGTTGGCCTATTAGCTCAGGCTGCTTATTGACTAACTCTTACATCTTAACCCATAATTCTTGTCTATGTTAGCCATGTTGCTTGGTACCTTTTATCAGTGAGGCATTCTCATCTTGCTTCCTCAGCAGCTGCATGACGACTGAATATTGGGCCTTTCCTTTTCCCAGAATTCTCCTGTTCTGGTTGCCCACCTATACTTCCTGACTGGCTACTAGCCAGTCAGCATCTTATTAAACCAATACAAGTAATCTTTACAGGGTACAACACCATTTTTCCTCAGTAGATTAACTTTAGTTTCAAGTTTATTTTGTTAGATATTATGATAGCTGATGGAGGAAGATCTATGTGTTACTTTCATTGGTTAATAAAGAAACTGCCTTGGCCCTTTGATAGAACAGAAAATTAGGTAAGCGGAGTAAACAGAACAGGATGCTGGGTAGAAAAAAGTGAGGTCAGACGCCATGGAGCCAGCTGCCAGGTCAGACATGCTGAATATTTACACAGATTATTAGAAATGGGTTAAGCAAGATATAAGAATTAGCCATTAAGAGGCTGGAACTAATGGGCCAGGCAGTGTTTAAAATACAATTTGTGTGTTGTTATTTCAGGTATAAAGCTAGCTGTGCTGGAGCTGGGTGGGACGAAAAGCAGGCCTGCTCACCTTATCACTACAGATAGCTAAACCAGCTTGTTTCTTAGGTTCATTTAATTGGAAAATATTTCCCAACTGTAACAAGATTAATAAAACCTTGAGATAGATATTGAGGTTCAACCTGAAGACCAAAAAATAAAAGCAGCTAGCCATTGACACTTACCTCTACCTCAGTCCAAAATGGCAATTCTGCCTCCAGAAATCCTCACAATGAGACTGTGCTGGTCTCTTCCTGTCTTATATTCCACTCAAGGGCTAAGATTAAAGGTGTGTACCATTGCTTCCCAGTTTCTATGGCAAACTAGTGTGGCTATTGGGATTAAAAGTGTGTGTCACCACTGCCTGATCCGTAAGGCTAACCAGTGTGATTCTTTTACTCTGATCTTTAGGCAAACTTTATTTATTAAAATACAAATGAAATATCACTACATTTCCCTGTTTTGTCTAAAATAAAAAAGAAGGCTATAACTAATATAAGAGAAACTATACACAATAAATCTAATAACTAAATACAGTATGTACAGGCAAAAAATGTATATTCTATTTGCATTTGACAAATTCAGAGAAAATACTCAGTATCTATCCTATCTTGGTGATTTCAAAGTCTTATACCTAATATACTTTCTATAATAAATTACTTTCTGTGTCAGGTAAACAAGGAAAACTATAACTGTAATTATCTAGTCTTTCACTCCTTCAGAGATCCAAGAAAGAAATAATATTAAGTGAGTAAGCATGAAATGTAAACAAGGAAATTCCCAAAAATGTGAGAAATGATAGAAAAATCTGGCTGTCTGGACAGTACCCAATGTTTCTCTGCAATGTTGGGTCATCTATCTTGTACCATATATATCGAAAAGATTATCCTGTGAAACAGGATATTCTGAAGTGCTGTCCCTCGTCTTGACAGTGTTTGGCAATCACTTTCTTTTGTGTCCTGCTTGTCCAGTTAGGAAAGAATACTGTCAGCAGTTGAAACAAGGGTATTTTCTTGCCCAGTGGTTTACTTTTGCCACAGAGAAATTAAACTCCATGTGGAGTTTCTTCTACCTCAGTTTGAAAATGATAATCCTGCCTCCAGGAATCTCAGAATGAGATTGATCCTGAGATCTGTCTCCTTCCATTTTACATTTCTTTCTAGTGCTGAGAATAAAGGCGTGTGCCACTACTGCCTAGTTTCTAAGTCAAACTAGTGTGGCTAGTAGGATTAAAGGTTGTGCCACCAGTGTCTGGTGTTTATGGCTGATCAGTGTGGCTGTTTTACTATCTGATCTTCAGGCAAGCTTTATTTATTATGTTACAAGTGACCTATCACTATACCCAACCTTTTACTTTGAGGTAATATCTATCTTTGAGGTATGTTTCTTGTATGCAGCAGAAAAATGAATCCTGTTTTTTTTATCCATTCTGTTAACCTCCGTCTTTTTGTAAGTGAATTGAGTCCATTGATATTAAGAGATATTAATGACCAGTGTTTGTTAATTCCTGTTATCTTTTTCCATTTTTGGTGATGACGGTGGTAGAGTGTATGTATGTTTCCACTCTCTGTGGTTTGCTGGTATGAGGTTATCTATTGTCTGTTTTTGTGAATACAGCTAGTTTCCTTGGGTTGAAGTTTTCCTTCTAGTACTTTGTACAGGGCTGGATTTGCGGATAGGCATCATTTAATCTGGTTTTGTCATGGAATATCTTGTTTTCTCCACCTATAGTAATTGAAAGTTTTGCTGGGTAGAGTAGTCTGGGCTAAATTCCAGGGTCTCTTAGTGTCTGCAAATGTCTGTCCAGGACCTTCGGCATCGAGAAGTCAGGTGTAATTTTGATAGATCTGCCTTTATATGTTACTTGCCCCTTTTCCTTTGTAGCTCTTAATATTCTTTCATTATTCTCTATATTTAGTGTCTTGATAAGTATTGGTAAAGGGACATTTTTTGGTTCAATATTTTTGGTGTTCTGTAAGATTCTTGTATCTTCATGGGCATGTCTTTCTTTGGGTTGGGAAATCTATGATTATTTTGAATATGTTTTCTGTGCCTTTGAGAGGGAGTTCTTTACCTTCTATCCCTGTTATTCTTAGGGTCAGTTTTTTTTTGTGGTGTCCCATATTTCCCAGATTTTTTTGTGTTATGAATTTGTTGGATTAAACATTTTCTTTGAGCCATGAATCTATTCTCTATTGGATCTTTAAATCCACAAAGTTCTTCTTCCATCTCTTACATTCTGTTGATGATGCTTGTATCTGAAGTTTGTGTTTTTCATTTCCAAAATTCCTTCTGTTTGTGTTTTTTTATTGCCTCTATTTCAATTTTCAGGTCTTGAACTCTTTCCTTTACATGTTTGATTGTTTTACCTTAACTTTCTTTTTCCTTATTTTTTGTTTTGTTTTTCTTTCCCTCCATTTGTTGTAAGGAAACCATCCTAATGTTGAATTTACTATTGCTTTTGCCCTCATTCTCTCCCTACAGAGCTGCCTTGCTCTTCTTGCTCACAAGCTTTGAATGTATCACAGGCATGACTACAGGGGAACTCTTCGTGATTGACAGGGATCGTTTTCTGTGAGTATCCCCTGCTCAGGTATCAGGCATCAGGGGTTGTTGATCAAATTAATTACATTTGTATTTGGGCTTAGCATGCTATCTCATGAAATATCAGCATTTTTTCTTTTTTCTTATCTTTTTAGCAGAAAAGTAAACAGATAATGAAAGTTTGTGTTCATCATTGTTGTGGTCCCATGCATTTTGAAGTATGTAAAGAGATTACTAATATTAATGAAAAATAAATGTGTAATTAAGAGCAGAGGTATCTGATGCACAGTAAATACTTCAGATTTGGGGTGTAGTCCTCAGAACTCAGTAGACAACACAGCAGTAGGAGGCTGAAAATCACAGGAAATTCATGAACCCCCTAAGGAGAATGTCAGGGATTTTGTAGAGCTTAAGTGTAGTGGGATCAGCAGCACATTGGAGCTGGAGAGGTACAGTTGCACAAGAATCAGAGTTCTCCTCTTGATGGAGGACTGGAAAGAGCCAAACAGTAGCTGTATAGAAATGAGCTGTTTTATCTCCTGTGTTTTTCAAACATGGAAGAATTTTTTTCTGGTGGCCTTTGATTAGGATTCATTGCTCTCAAAGATGGCCAAGATTTGCCTCCAAGTACATGTCAAGGAAAAGAGTCACCAGAGAGGAGCTGAGGGCTCCACTCAGTTGGTAGAGTGTTGACTTTGTGTGCATGAAACCCTCTGTTAAAGTTACAGTACCACAAAACACTGATCATGACTGTGTTTCTGTAATTCCATCTCTTGGGGCTCTGGAAGAGGCAGGAAGTTAGTCAATCTTGGCTGCATATGGATTCTGAGGCAAGACTGCACTAGTGGTTTATTCTCAAAAAATAAGAGATACAATGAAATCACTGGGAGGGGAAGAACATGGAATTTGGAATGACTTAGAAGATATCAGGAAGGAAAGATTATATTTGGTACTGGTAAGGATTCACAGTTGTAAAGAAAGATTATTGAAGGAATACATCTGCCGAAGTGAGATCAGCAGATGAGAATGATGTAGTGTCCTGAAGGGGCACTGTGACCTCAGGCTGACAGTGTCACCTTCATAAGAACTGGAAGGAGAGAAGTCTCCATGACCATGGTCTGAGGTGAGATATGAATGAGCTGCTTCTCAGGAAACCAGCTTCAGAGGGGTAGAGACTTGGGGAGAGTGAACACATTGGGTTGTTTCTCTGGAAGGGCTATTGTATGGCCAGAGTAGGAAAAAATAGAGGACAATTCATTAGAGGGGAGAATTGTAATGAGAATGTCATAAGGCTGATGACCTAAAGATGCTGGTCCCTAAGCCAGGGACGTGTATGGGCATCAGCATGGACAATAGGGGACACTGTCCTGTGAAGATCCTTGTCATAACAGAAGTCAGTGTAGCCAGCATCTCCCCTGTGCCTTCTGGACTAATCTAAGGATGTATAACCTTATCTTTGACTCTGTAGACATGAGCACACCAGTGGATACTACAGAGTGTCTTCATATTTCCTTGGAAAATTGCTGGGTGAACTGGTACCCAGAAGGTTATTGCCGAGTATTATATTTACTGTTATAGTATTCAGCATAACAGGTAAGTGACAAAGCAAGAGAATATGTGTTTATTGTTGGGGGAGCATGTTTAGTTTGTACATATATGGCAAGACTAAAGTAGAAGAGCAAGAGTAGAAAAGCTCATCTTCACTGTGTGCCATGTAAAACAGATGTTCAGTGTGAGGAAAGTCTCCAAGACTTATTAGCAAAATACTACAAAAGCTGCTTATGAAACTGTGCTAGAGATTCCATGGACTATAATGAATGTATAAATAGAATACACATTTGAGACAGTGCCAATGGAGTAAATCAATTATTAGATATCTATCATAAGTACTGTAAATGATTTATTTTTCCTTTATTTGTTTGTTTTCCTGTGTGTGTATATGCATGCACACACACACACACACACACACACACACACACACACACACACACACTAAGTGAATGAAGCTCCTGGGGAGGCCAGAAGAGGACATTAGATCACCTTTAACTGGAGTTCCAGGAGAATATGAGCCACAATGTAGGTGCTGGTAACAGAATTCCGGGTCTCTGCAATGCTAGCACATGCTTTTAATATGTGAACTATCTCTCTAGCCCAGTGGTGTATTATTCTGCATTTCAGTATGTGCCTCTATATGTAAATAAAACATAGAGAAGAGGATAATATGTTATACATATGAATTATGTAAAAGAAGTTAAATGTGTACAATGTCTTATGCCACCTAATTTTACAAAGAGAGAGGATAATGAATTTGAGGTTTGCTGAAATTATATAACATATATAGTTTTTTTAAATATGTGCCCAGATTCATTTGTTCATTATTGTTAATGTGCCTAGATTATTTGTTCAGAATTTCCATACTTTTCACACACACACACATCTAAATGCACACACATACATACATACAAACACACACAGATTTATACACCCACAAACACTCATATAAATGCGCACAAAGCACACATACATACACATACATGCAGTTCTGCACACACACACACACTCTCACACAGATACACTTTCAAGTATAAACACCAGTACAGCTTAGACTTTGTTTTATAGGAGACTGATCACTCAGCACCACTCAGTTAGGCCATGGGATAGTTGTGGGCAAAGGTGCTCTTCCTGCAAGTCTGACAATCTGAATTTGATGCTCAGAATCCACAGTGAAAGAGAGAATCATTCCAGAAAGACGTTCTTCAATTCCACACAAACACACACACACACCATGGCACGTGCATACCATGGCACATGTACACCATGGCACATGTACACTATTGGTGTGGAACATCCTTCTGTCTAAGCTGGCTGGGTAGCTGGAAATGAACAAACGACCCTTCCTCCAACACACCATGGTACTTACACACCATGACACATGCACACCATGGCACAAGCACACCATGAAACATACACTCTGTGGTTCTTGCATACCATGATAATGAATACTATGGGACATGCACACCATGCCACATGTACACCATGCCACATGCATAGTAATGGACACCCATACTCACACATGTACCATACATACTGTGGTAATCATAACAATCGCTATTAAAACAATTAAGAATATAACTCAGATTCCCAGACTCTAACTTGTGATCTTTTGACTACATAGGACTATGCATGGCTCATAACATTAGCCCCATAAAGATTATAAATCAGCTTGTGGAGCCCGTTGCTTTCCTCCATAGCAGTTACATGGTGATTTTCTAGGAAAAACTAAAGTCAGAGGCATTCTCCTGTCCTCCAGATATTAAAGCCACTGCATGGTTGTTTAATCCTTCCCTTAGACAGCTTGCAGTATGTCAAGAAGGGAAGTCATGGCAGGAACCTGGAGGCAGGGAATGAAGCAGAGTCCGTGGAGGAGTGCTGCTTACTGGTTTGCTCCAGATGGGTTGTTCAGCCTGATTTATTACAGATTCCAGGACAAGCTGCCCAGGAATGGCATCACTCACAGTTGAAAAGATCTCCCATATAAATCCTTAATCAAGAAGATGCCACCACAGGCTTCCTATAGTCCAATATAATGGAGGCATTTCCTTAGTTGAGGGTATCTCTTCCATATGAACTTTAACTTGTGTTAAATTTACAAAACTAACTTGCACACTACTGACCCCATTATTTTTAATAGCACAGTTCTGATAAACACAGGGAACTGAGGACAAGAATGTTTTCTATTGGTGATCCTCCTGTGAGAGAAGGCAGAAGATTTGACCAGTTGTGTTCCCTGGAGCTTTACATATCAGGGTCACATAAATTTCTCATAATTATCTATAAAAGAGAATATGCATTACATGGAAAAACATTTTGTTCCAAGTACAAATACAAAGCCATATGATGAGGCTGTAGAAATAGCTCGTTAGTTAAGAGCACATGCTGCTCCCCACAGTCCCCAAATTTGGTTCCTAACACCCTCATCATCATGCAGCTTTCACTGCCTATAACCACAATTCTAGGAGATCTGATACTGCCTTCTGGCCTCCAAAGGTAATTGCAGACATATGGCATACTTTCTCACAGACACACATTAATATACACATGACTTAAAATAGAACAAATCTTTAAAATGGAAACTGTATAACAACTTTATATAGTCCCATAGAAAAAGTCAATTAAATTAGAGTTTGGTGGTTGACGTCTTATTTGAAAACTATACAATAGCCTGGACTTTGGTAACTGGACTGACACCACTTTTTTTTTTATTTCTAAGGAGTAATAACAGATGTGAAGGGTTTATTCACTATGATATTCACCATCATGATGTTGGCTTGCTGTACCAGTTCCGTGCCACTGTCTTTAGGAGCAGGGGAGAATGCAGCAGCTGTACCAACAGAACTCATAACCATCTATTTTATGTTCATGCTGGTGAGTGCGAATTATTTTTATAAGACGAAAATCTTCCTTGTGTTCCTTCCTTCACATGTAACCTGCTTGGCAAATCAGGACCTGAGCCATGCGGTCTTATGCTAAAGCTTATTGTGGTCTGTGGTTGAAAAGGGGCCACCTTTCTTTTTAGGCATTGTGGCCGCTGCTCTGATGTCAGTCCTATGATGTGTCTGACACGCCCTTTCTAGTGAGCTCTTAACAGACATTTTTTGGGAGGATCATATTACAAAACCATAATCAATTAGAACTTCGAGAAAATAGTATGATTGACTGATATCCCACAAGATGGATTGCAGCCTTTCTTTCATGCTGGTGTGAGAGACTTGCCTGCTATTTTAACTACAGCAGAAGGGATTTGGTTTATTCAGTTGTCTATAGTCAGAAAACCAAGGTCATGGCACTAGGAGTTTGTCTTAGGGCTCACTTGTGTTCTGGACAGTGTTAGAAAAAGTGGAAGAATCCAGACTCCTCAGTACTAATCAGTCTCCACTATTAGCACACTACTGCTCACTAGCTGTAACTGGATACCCAGTCTTAGTTTCTCATGTAAATTACACACTTAATGTAAATAAATCAACCAATAATTGGAACCAGACCCCACATTTCCCCCAGAAGCATATCAAGTAAATAGAAAGATTGATGTAGTGTGTTAACATTCATGTTCTTTCTATTAGTGCAGGAGCATACTGTAGAGATTGGCTCAGTTGCCATCCCAGAGCGAAGACCCAAAAGCACAGTGGAAACAACAAGGACCAGGAACTGTTTCCAGAAGCTCTGCCCATTGTTGGTTCTGGTGCTTCTACCCCAGAGTATAGAAGAGAAGCCAAGTCACTATCAGAGCCCAGAACTGTCTGAGCATTGTAATGGGAGATTTTAAAAAATGAAATGCAGTTCTACAGTGACTCCAGTTCATTAGCGGAGGGTTAAAGATGATAGAATGTGTCCATATTAATAAGATGGACAAAGTCTGTGTAAACCCTCCCCCTTTCCCTTCTCATGTGTGAATATATAGTTAAGGGGGAAAATATGGGTATAAAACAGTAACTTTATCCCGGAGAATATGTGGAAAAATTTTCAAGAGGGACACACAGAGTATTTTGGTGTTAAACTGTCTCCTGGAAGTCTTCCTACATTTTGTGAAATATATTGGCCTTTGTTTAGGATGGGCTGTCCCAAACCACATGTATCCCTAATGCTGTTGCTCCTGTTACTTCTCAGCCTTTAAACTTTGGTTTCCCTGTCTTCTTTTGCTATGGAGAGTTCTTTGTCTCCTAAATTTCATATGCATCCACAACAAATATGATCTTCACTTTAAAAAAAATTAGAACTAAAGTACCAATGGAATAAATCTGTGAGCTTTCATTCATGAGTGTAGTCTTGAGGATGTGCAGCTCCTTTCTGGGGGAATTCAGCTCCTGCAGGAATTCTTCTGGTCCTGCCCATATCTTGGTCAAACAGTTTGGCAGAGAGGCCACTGCCTCCTTCCCAGCTGCAAGCAGGCCTCCACCAGCTTGAGGCTGAGTGGCTGGTCAGCATGGAAAAGTAGAATAAACACTTTCTTTCCCATAGTTTCGGTCAGTGTCTTTATCAGAACAATAGAAACAAAGTTTAGATGAGGTCTACACGTGTGTGGGCCAATCAGGTGTGTGTGTTAATGATGTGTAATTGCGAAAACAGGAAAAGGGTTTGAAAATAATTAAAAATCCTCATGGAAGATCTTAAATGAAGCCCTTTGAAGGAACCCAAATGAACTCCCACAAATACCAAAGAAACAAACTAAAAGAATACCTCCTCAGGTGATAGCAGCCTCCTCCTTTCCCTGTGCTGATGATTGTTTGATGAATACTATCTTAGAGTAACTTAGAACTACATAGATTTGTTGAAAATTAAAAAAGCTATCAGAAGGGCTGGGTGCCTCTCTCCACATGAGTGTTTCATGTCTCCTATCTTAGGGAGTTAACAGGCATGCTACCCTCTTTATGAAAAAGGACACACGGGTGGTAAAGTTTTATAGAGTCTGTTGTTCTTGTTCCCAGATGTGCAGACAGTCCCACTGAAAGCCTCTTCACAATAGAGAAAATGAGTTATCCCTCACATGACAGGGGATGGATTCTTTCACGGTTGGTTGGTGATACCTCTAGCCGTTTTGCTGTTCATACTTGATCTGATAATCTGATGATTTTTCATGTGAAATTTAGTATTATTTTGCAATTTCTTTAAATTGTATTGAAGTTTCGATGAGGATTGCATTGAATTTCTTGGTTGCTTTAGGTAGCATGGATATTTTTGCACTTATCCTACCAATCTGTAAGCATGGGAGGTCTATCCTCTAGTATCTTCAATTTATTTTTTTCCAGTGTCTTCATGTTTTATTATACAAGTATTTCATTTGGTTATATTTATTCTAAGATCTCACACCTCCCTTTTTTTGAGTTTTTTGTGAGTGAGATTGTTTCCCTTATTTCTTTCCCATTATGTTTGCAATTTGTACTTGTAAAAGCTCCTGACTTCTCTATGTTTGTCAGGGTGTTTTATCATAGCCACAGAAAAGGAATTAAGACAACTGGTTATTGTATGCAGTTTCTAACTAGTTATGGTGCCAAATGTTGTGTCCTCTGCATAAGCGTTTGGACAAATGCTGTCTGAATGCGTGCAGACAGTCATTGTTTTGCATATTCTAGTGTACATCAGAGTGAATAGGGTAAGTTTTGTGTCAACTTCGGAGCTGTCCCCATCTCTGTGTGATTCTGTGGTTTGAGTTTTTAAACGGGGGGTTGGGCCCTGTTTCTGCTGCTCTTCACCACATGGTGTGGATTATCAGTTCTAGGCTTGAAGTTGTCTTAAGGTGGTATTTTAAAATGAATCCAAAATTACTCCTAAGATCATGAATAGAGAGTCAAAACTCTTATAAATAACAAGACTTATAGATTCTTGGAATAGAAGTGAGTTTGTGATATTCAGTGTTTGTCCTACTTAAGGTTTCTATTGCTGTGATGAAACACCATGACCGAAGAGCAAGCTGGGTAGGAAAGGGTTTATTTGGCTTATACTTCCACAACACTGTTGACCATTGATTAAATCCAGAATAAGAGCTCAAACTGGCAGGAATTTGGAGTCAGGAGCTTATGCAGAAACCATGGAAGGGAACTACTTAAGGGCTTTATCAGATTACTTTGTTATAGAACCCAAGTCCAGCAGATCAGGGATGGTACCACCCACAATGGGTTGTGCACACCCAGCCCATTTAATAGACTATGCATAGATTGCATGTTCTTTTAAATATAAACATTATAAACATCTGTAGGCTTGACTCCTGCAGAGAGGGGTGGCAGGTCCTTCTTTTAAACCCACAAAGAGCCATGATATTGTAAAATGAAGAATTCTGTTTAGAGTTTACTGTAAAAATGCTTTAAAGAACTGGTCTGAGAAGAAATGGTCAGAAAAATGAAGGGGTCTTGAAGAGGAAGGATTTTCTCTAGAATTCTTAGTTCCTGGACTGATTCTAATTTGTGGTTCTGTTCTTTGTAGTTGATCTCAGGTCTGTCATTATATTCCGTAAACCTCATGCGGGACCTCTCATGGATTAAGTCCTTGAGCATTCCTCACTATGGATTTATAGTAAGTTGTCATGTCTATCACTGTACTTGGGTTCTCCAACTGTAGCAACTGAAATGAACCCCAGGCAAGTCCTTTCCTCAGCTGTAATCTCTAACCAGTCACTGCCCAGTAATTTCTTTCCAGGAGCAAAAGATGAGAACTTTCCTGCTTACTTTAGCCTGAGGTCAGTAAGTCATCTGGGGTTTTCACCCTAGTCATGTGTTATTTGAGAGAACTAAAGGGTAAGAAAACTCCAGGGTTAAGAGGAAAGACAGATGATATGATGAAAAATGTACAGTTGTGATTATACCCAATAAGAAAATTATGAAAGATCAAGGATAGCTGTGTAAAGTTTATAAATTTCCCATTGATTTTAGCCAAAGGTCAGTAAGTCATCTGAGGTTTCCCCCAGTCATGTGTTATTTGAGGGAAATAAAGGTTGAGAAAAATCCCAGAGTGAAGGGGAAAGGTAGATGATATGATGAAAAATAAACAGTTGTGATTATATGCAATAAGAAAATTATGAAAGATCAAGGTCTGTTATAGAAAGTTTATATTAGAAATTAAAAGAAGCAGAAACCATGTGATACCCATAGCCATACCGGCTTTGACAAACTTTCTCTGAAGTAAATTCTGTCTTAGTAGACTTTCTTACTACAATAATCACATCTGGTTTTGATAAAAATAAGCAAGAGAATATTGTTGCTATAAATCAATGGTATTGTTTCAATTACAGGGTTAAGGACTAGGCAGAGAAGGAGGATACAGGAGTGGTCAAGTTAGAATATCTACTTCTTAGTAGTTGGCAAGCACCATCATTTCAATCCTAAGCCTCCTAAATATGGGGGATGGGCACTGCTTTGCTGAGCAAACTGAACTTGGTGGGGGTGGGTTGTTTTATTAAACACATTCACAAATAACAGTAAAGATTGAACTTGAGGTTATAACTGTATTATTCTTTTGAAACTTATGAATGTATTAAATGGTTTACTTTTCCCTGATCCTGTTTGTGTTACAGGCTTTGCAACACAATGAACTCGTGGGACAAAACTTCTGCCCAGAACATAAAACAGAAGTCAGTAGATGCCACAACTTTGTAATGTAAGCTTGACTTCAGTGTCATGATGGGGACATAGAAAGCTGTAGACTTAGAGAGGAAACCCTCCTTTCAGGATTAACTCTTTGCCCTTTGCCCATTCCCCAGAATGAGTCATTATAACCAATGCACAGCTGGCTGTGTTTCCATCCTACAACTCCAAGGTGTAGATAATGTGCAGGAAGGGTTCTTTGGGGCCTTTTAAAGTGGTTTTTGTGTCTTGATTGTGGATTTGAGTTGTTTTAGAACACTTAAGTTTGACACAGGCTGCTCTGATAGTTTACAAGGGCATACAGTTTCACATGTATAGATTATGGTACCTGTGAGCAGAGCCCAAGAATGTCAGGGCAGCAAGGATAAAAGTGAGTGAGCTGCCTGCCCAATTTCAGGGTATTTTCTATGCCCCACACTCTAGAAGTCTTTAAGAAATCAAAAGGTAGTGTGTATGTTTGTGTGTGTGTATGCCTTGTGTGTGTGTGTGGGGGGAATATCCTATCAGAAGACTTGTCCTACAATGAAAAATACATATTTCTCTATGTTGAAAAGGAAATATCTTTTGTATCTAATTCTATAAAAGTACTTTCACTTTCTATGATTGTTCTCATTGATTTGATTTTCATATATAAGTGAAATAGGAATGTGATGATATGTTAAATCTCTCATGGATGTTCAAAATAATAATGAATAATATTAATAAAAAATTATGTTTGAATTACTGATAAGAAAACACACATAAGACAATATTTTATTTATCACATCTCCTCTCTTCTGATGTGGTCTGGCACTCTTCTAAAACAAATTCCTTATCAGTGATTGTTTAGGAGGACTTGGATTAGTAATGTGAAATCAAGGAAGGCCATCCACAGTCCTGAGATTCACAGAAGGATTTTCCTCACAAGATTAAGAAGAAATCTTCCCTTCCAGTGGATTCTGGAACTATTAGATCCTAGGAAATACAAGGGAAAGGAGACACACAGGGATGGAGACACGCAGGGATAGAGACACACAGGGAAGGAGATACACATAATTGAGATACACAAAGGTGGAGACACACAGCTTAAAGATACACAGGAATGGAGACATAGAGGATGGAGACACACAGTCTGCAATTGCAGTGTATCCAGAACTTTTCACAATAGCTGCCTTTCCAAGCTGTGTCAGGGTCCCTGCATCTGAGTTCCAACTGCTACCCAGACTTTATCTGTAGCCATGGGTTCCTGGGGGTGTTCCATATCTGAGCAACTATGGCTTTCACTGATCTCTTAGTACAGGAGCTGAGAGCAACTGACTGACTCCTCTTGGAAACCCTTGGTCTCCTCTGGTCCTTGGTCTAGAATTTGATACTTTGTTCTTTTGTGTGATCATGTGCTGTGTCAGCAGAATTGTGTAAGCTTTGATTTCTTGGAGTGTGTGTATATGAACTTAAAAAGCTAAGGTTTTCCCCTTCAAGAGAAACAAGAGTTGATACACGCCATATCACGGAGAGCAGTTTTGTAGAATAGAAATGACAGGGCCATGTTTACTAAGTCGGCTTCCTCTATCCTTTTAAAGAGATGTGACAGCTACACCTCTTAGGATGAATTTTGAAATTAACTAAGATACTTGATTCAAATAGTTGAGATTGACATAATATATAACAAAATTGTAAATATGTCAGTACTGCCACAAATTAAATATAAAGAAGAAACTTAATGATGTGCTAAAACTATGTTTTTTTTTTAAAGCAAGTAACAGTAAATGTACTGAATAAATTTTGATATTATTTTTCTATATATTAAATTACAGGTGTACTGGTGAAGAATTTTTGAGAATCTGGGACATTGACCTCTCACCATGGGGATTCTGGGAGAATCTCGTGGTCTTAACTTGTATAATGATTATCCTCTTATTGATTACCTATGTGCAGCTATTAGTTCTTAAGAAAAAGAGATATTTTAAAATCACTCTTCCATTTTCTTTTAATTGACCTTTAAAAAACAACAACTAAAATCTTTCTTTTTTGTAAATCCAGACCTTCCCCCCCCCAAAAAAAAAACAGTAACTAGAGTCTTAGATTGTAGGGCAGAAACTGTCTTCATTTGCTGAAAGAGATGTGTTTCTGAATGTGTTCTAAATATTTACACTTACACTCATGGACACATGCTGCAGCCAGCATTACCCAGGAAAGATTCCCACGGTAAGGAACTGTGGTGAATGCAGACAATCATGACTGCTCAAAGGACCAGAGTAAGTGACACTTGAGTGCTTAACCCTAAACAGGACACCTATACAACCCCCTCCAAAACTTAGAAAAAGGAGTGGAAAGAGTACAGGAGCCAGAAGATGAGAAGAACAGCTGGAAATGCTCTATTGTGGGCATGACATAGCCCTTGCAACTATGGTCATCTCACAACATCTGCAGATCCCTGCACAAGACTGGGTCCCTCATGAGCACAACAATGGGCCATACTGCATTCTGCTGAACTATTGGCTACTGGTAGATTATGAGAGAGAGGCAGTCATTGATTTCACATGTATTCTCAACAGGAAAGACAGCAGCTAGGCTCCTGTGGACAGTATAAAACCATGGCCACACAGACAACACTGGTTAAACTCTGTGGGTCACTAACAAAACACAAAGATAAAAATGTGGGAAAGGGAATTTTGAAGAGGGTTGTTTGAACAGTTGGATGGGAGATAAGAAAGATGGGAATGAATGAGAATGGCTGAAATGTATTATGTACATATGTGGAATTGTCAAAATTTTTAAAATAAAAATTACAAATATAAAAAAGGAATGTTTTATGTACAGTATCTAATAGAGACTTTTTCCTATTTGGTTTCTATTATTCTTTAAATAAGCAATGGTTATTTTTTAAGTCTACAAATTAGTAACACTATTATTCTTTAAATAAGCAATGGTTTTTATAAGTCCACAAAATAGTAACTAACTAAATTATAAGTAAAAGGGTATGAGCTCCAAGATAATGTTCTTAAGTATTACATGTTAGTTCATCTCATCAATAATAATCATGTGAGGCTATCAATCAAATTTCTGCTACCTGGAAAAGGAGAATTTGTCCTCGAAAAACCTTACATTTTTACATCTTCATATTTACAGTAGGAACATAACCTATCATCCACCAAATATAATAGCCAATGAATCCTTCATTGACCTTTATCTGGTCCATTAAAATTTATTGACTTTGTTTCAAAAGCATGACTCTAAATTTGATTATAAAAACCTAAGATTAAAAAAAAAACTCAATAAACTTCATGTGGTAAAGTATGCCTACAGTGTCTTCACTTGGGATGTGGAAAGATCAGTATTCCAAACCCGTCCTCGGGAAGGCAATATATTTGTGCTAGAAAAGACACAACTTCAAAAACAAACAAACAAAAACACACATAATGAGTGGCCATAAAGCAACTTTGATGATCTCATTAAATAAGGCTCATGAATTGTGTCTTAGTTGGGATTTCTATTGCTTTAATGAAACACAGTGGCCAAAATGCAACTTTGAGAGGAAAGGGTTTGTTTGGCTTACACTTCCTTATCACTGTTCACCACCACAGGAAGTCAGGGCAGGAACTAAAACAGGGCAGGAAGCTAGAGGCAGGAGCTAATGCAGAGGCCATGGAGGAAAGCTGCTTACTGGTTTGCTCATCATGGCTTGCTCAGGCTCTTTTTATAGAAGCTAGGACCAGCAGCCCAGGAGTGACTCCATTCACAGTTGCTGGGTCCTCCCTATTGATCATTTATTAAGAAAATGCCCTACAGCTGAATCTTATGGAGGCATTTATTCTCTGATAACCATAGCTCACTTCAACTTGTCATAAAAACAGACAGGACAGGTGGTTACTTCTCTGCAGTCATGTAATAGCTCAGTCTTGATTGGGGGCTTTGGCTAAAGTTTCTGTATAAAAACGAGTTATGGTAATATGAAATGGCTCTTGTGACATTTCAGGGGGACTATGATCTGGAAAAAAAATCACTTAAGCTCAAGGTTAACTCAGTGGTATAGAATTTGGCAAGAGGCTCTCCTGAGGAGCATTACAAAATCACAGATGTTGGGGCCCTGCCTTGCACATCAGCATCTGTAGAAACTTCCTCTTGTAATTTTTGCTCACTCCTAGATCTGCTAGCTCCCAAGATCCTTTGCAATCCCTCAAATTTCAGACTTTGGTTTAATAGCTTTATCTATACTTCCTTTTGGTTTCTATATTTTTTTTTCTATTCAGTCTTTTTCCATAATAGGAAAGTACTCACCAGCAATTTGGGTGTTTTTAAACATGTTTGCCAAATTTTCTAGGTTTCTCAGCTCTCTGTGCTTCACTTTTCTTGCATGTGGTATTCTAGAAATTTGTCTCTTTGACTTCTACTACTGCTCTCTTGGTTCACTTTTCTGACCCTACCTAGTCAACTTCTCTTTTTTCTTTGTGAAACAGTTAGGAAGTGCATTTATTCACTGAGACGGGATCCTTGACTTTCTCTTCAGATGCCTTAGTCACAACAAAGCTTCATATAGAAATTCCTTAACTTATGCTTGTCCAGCCTCTTTCATGAGCTAGACACATGTGCAAACTTTCCCCGGACATCTGCAAGTATACAGCAAGGGTCAGGTTTGCTGTTCTAATGGCCAACAGTAAATGCAGTCCTTGCTCAGTCTGCCACAGTAGTCTTAGCCCAGAGAATAGGTTTTGCCATGACATAGGCATGCTTCCTGCATAAGAAAACAGAAGTTGCTCTGCTAGGGGTGGGGGGTCCATGAGAAAGGGGGGGGGAATAACCACCTCTTCCCTTATTAGTTAAATATGTAAAATAAAATTTACAATGTGATTATCACTGATTCCTCCATCTCCCCATGCCAGGAGATGGTTTCCAATTATCATTTCATTCTTGACTCTATTCATCCTGGTAGCATTAAGCAAATTACAAGTGGTAATATTCCATTCAGAACAAGTGTTAATAAATTGACCATATGGGCCCCAACTAATTCATTTATTTTGAATTGTTTTGCCAAATTTGCCCAAACAAGTTTTCCAAACAAACGGCTGATATTTTAAACTATCATAAATAAAATCTGGACATATAGGATATGTCACCCATTCTGCAGAGAGACATGACCATATCCTCTCCTTTTCACCATTAGCAATTTTTTAATGGCTCATTTATTGGAACAGCAGTATCCATTTCTACTTATAAATTTACCTTTCTTAAAAGTACTAATGTTATTGCTTGTGTGCCACTAACATATGTATTTTTAGTTGGAAGAATCAATTTTTACAACTGGAATTAGTTGTTATGATTGTTGATTGTATTCATGTATTAATTCCTCTGTTAAGTTTAATCCTCATATTCAATCACTTATGATATTAAGGCAGCGTACACATATTTGGCTGCCTGTAAACTTAGGTCGTTCTTGGGCTCAAAATCCTCTAGATTATATTGTTGTAGAATCCTTCAAAAAGATATTAAAAGGAACAAAGTGCATGTTAGGTAATAACTGTAATTATAGCTGTAATTCTTAACCCTGCTTCTGTTGTTGCTACTGCTTCTCTGGTTGGTATTGCTTTATATACATCTTTGCAGACAAAATACTTTGTAGAGCAATGGAATAAAGACTCTCATGAACTTTGGATTCAGCAAGCTCAAATATATGCTCGACTTCAGACAGAGAATGATGTACTTAAGCAAACTGTGGTATGGTTGAGAAAGAAATATTTATCTTTGCAAGAACAAATAGCCTTGCCTTATGATTGGAATTCAACCACTTTTTGCATTAATTATTTGGCTTATAATGATTCTTTACATGAATGGAAGGTTATTCAAACTTATGTTTTAGGCAATGCCTCTACTTGATCACTCATTAATCACTTACAGAATAATATAGTATTTACTTTTGCTAAATAATTTCCCAATTCAGATGCCTCCACCATTGCACAAATTTTTGCTGAAAAATTGACAGAATTAGATCCTAAGGGTTTCTTACAAAGTATTCTTCATAACTCTGGTGTATGCTTATTGTAATCATTCTTATGTATTTTTCTTGATTATGTATCAGTTTTGTATTCGATCAAATGCAGAAAATTTACGTGGTTGAAAATTCCTTTTAACTTCACATAAAAATAAAAAAGTAGGAAATTGTGGAGACAAAGAACTGGCACAGAGTGCAGGCTCATCCTGGGACAGATGAGATAAAGTTGGTAAATGGTTGCTTGGCAAACCAAGCATAGATGAAAGCAAACTTTCTCTGCCCATTTCTCAAACGTTCTGTCAGAATCTGTACCCTGGATAAGGAAGTGGCCTTTGTGTTCAGTTCTTCATGCTCTACCAGATATAAAGGAGTGCTTTGCTTCTGATACTTTTTTTGCCTTATTTCTGTGTACTTCTTTGCATTTTTATTACTGTTATCAATTGATGTATTGTTTTCTGCAAGGTGAGGTAGGAGTTTCTCATGATCATGTATGTGAGTAAACGAGGCTTAAAGAGTTGAGGCAATGCTTTTTAGTCTGTATAAAAAGCCATACAAAATAAAGCTTGTTATGCAGTTGTTCATACTCTGTATTCCCTGTGTCCTGATTTGTGTGAGGTCCTTACTCAGGGACCCCCAACCCTCTAGATATTGACATGTTTCTACAATTTCTGTATACATAAAATTATTTGAAAATTAAGCCTATTAAGCCAAATGCAGTAGAATATTCTTGTAACTTCAGCATGTCCGGAGGCACAGTCAGAAGTGTATGGATTTAAAGCAAGTTTGTCCTAAGGGCATAAGACTGTCTCAAAAAAAATGAGAAAAAATAAATTGATTGAGTAGTGGACAGTAAACTTGAATCTCTGTTAAAATACTAGAAGATAAAACTAAGCTGTAACAGTGTTCTGATGGTAAACAGAGATGGGTACATTGTGTCATTTCAGAAGCAATGCATGGAGACAGCAAGTCCAGAGTAGACAGGGACATGACTACCTCACACGTGTTAGTCACAACCCATTTCCTAACCAAGAGTGATGTTTGTCAAACATCTTGTTTAAAGTAATTCACCAAACCGTACTTATTTTTTATTTAAACTAATTTTCCGTGCAATATATTTTTATCATATTCTTTCTCTTTTCTCAACTCCTCTCAGATCCTTCCCTCCTACCAACCTAGCTAAATACATGGTAGCTTTCCCTGTGTCTCTCTCTCCTTGGCCTCAACAATAAAGAAAAACAAAACAATAACAAAAACAAAATAACTAAAGAAAAAGAAAACCAATTAGACAATAAATAACAAAACAAAGCTGTACAACATCAAATGATATTTGTTTAATGTTGGTCAATTACCCCTGGGTACCAGTCCTGCCCTGGAGTGTAGTTGATGTTCCCAGGGACACTTTATTGGAGAAAGCTGGTTTTTTTTTCCAGTAGGCATTAGTTGCAAATAGCTTCTGGGTTAGTGTTGGATTTTGCGTCCACCTCCCCTGTTCAGTGCTGGGATTCTGTCTGGCTTGAATTGTGGTTGATCTTTTGTGTGCTGCCACAATCCTTGTGAGTTTGTATGTGCATTGGTCCTATTGTTTCTAAGGGATGCTGTTTCCATGGAGTTATCCATCACCTCTGGCTCTTAAAACCGTGATACCTTCTCTTCTGCATAGAATTCTGAGCTTCAGTGGAAGGGGTTCAATGAAGACATCCCATGTAGAGCTGTGTGCTACAAAGTCTTTCAGCCTTTACATATTGTCCAGTTGTGGATCTCTTAGTAAATTACCATCTACTCCAATAAAAAGCTTCTCTGAAGACAGCTGAATAATGTTATAGTCCATAGCTATAGCAATATGTCATCTGAAATCATTCTATGTTTCTTTAGCCAAAAGTAGTAGTAGGTATTCCCCAGGCTCAGAACCTATCTAGTCTCAGGTCCTTGGCCACTTGACAGTGCCAGGTACAGGCTTCATTTTATGTAGTGGACCTTAAGCCCAATTAAAAAAAAATAATTGGTTGCCCCCATAATGTTTTTGCCACTATTGTACCAAAAATATCTTGCAGGCTGGTTATTTCCGGAGATTACAGAGTTTATAGCTAGGGGACACTGATTAATACTCTCCTCCTGTAGAAGCATGCAAAGAACCTTCCAGCACAATAAATATGAGCAGTAGGGATAAAGCCTCTAACTGTATAACTCCTTGATTTCTCTGTGTTCAATGGCATAAGTTAGTGGAGTCTTCAGCAATAGGGTCCTACTCTTAGGTTATGAATAGCAACCAACAGTCTTGACAATAGTCTATGAGGCTCAGGAAAATCTACAGGAACACCTTTGGTCAACGGCTCAACATGATGTAATCCATTCCTGGAACTCAAGGTTTACTTGGTGACATAAGATAAGTTGCCAGAGCATCGTCTCCTCTATTTTATGGTGACTCTATTATTATTCCATTCATATATACATATTTTAGGGTTCTTCTACAATGATAGATTTCCATATAGATTTTCAAATGACCTTTAGAGCAATTGCTCCTCCTCTTATCCGTCCTCTACTTTTCCCTCTCATCTGCTCCCATCTTGTTCTATTTTTCCATTTACCTCTTTATAACATTATTCTCTCCTTCCTTGGAAGATCACTTTGTCCTCCCTGGTCCCGTAAGAGCTGCCTAACCTCTATGGTTATTCAAATCAAAGCACACATGTTTAAATCTTAAAAGCCTACATCCACATAAAAGATAAAACATGCAGTGTTTGTCTTTTGGGCCTCTGGTTTACTTCACTCAGCATTAGGGCTTATAGAGCATTCATTTACTTGAAAATTCCAGGGAGCCACTCTAGGTTCAAGTCTCTTGCCAACTCTAAGGTGGCTCCCTTAACTAAGATATGTGCTTCCTTGCTCCCCTATCCAACCTTCCTTTATCCCAATCATCCTGTTTCCCCAAGTTCCCCCAATCCTCCCCTTCTCACTTTTCTCTCCCCATCCCTCCTTATCCCCATCCCACCTCACCCCCAAGATCCAAATTTTCTCCCCGGCAATTTTGTCTACTTCCCATAGCCAAGAGGATAACTATATGTTTTTTCTTGGGTTCACCTTCTTCTTTAGCTTCTTTAGGTTCACCAGGTATACACTCCGTGACCTTTATTTATGGCTAGAAACCAATTATGAGTGAATACATCCCATGTTCATCTTTTTGGGTCTGGGTTACCTCGCTCAGGATAGTGTTTTCTATTTCCATCCATTTGCATGCAAAATTTGAGAAGTCATTGTTTTTTACCACAGCATAGTACTTTAATGTGTATATATTTCACACTTTCTTCATCCATTCTTCCATTGAAGGGCATCTAGGTTGTTTCCAGGTTCTGGATATTACAAATAATACTGCTATGAACATAGTTGAACAAATGCTTTTGTCATATGATAGGGCATCTCTTGGGTATATTCCCAAGAGTGGTATTGCTGGGTCCAGGGGTAGGTTGATCCCGAATTTCCTGAGAAACTGAATGTGATGTCCCCAGTTAGTTCCTTGGGAAGCTGAGGATAGGGTCACTAAAAGTTTCTCTCTGACCCCATTTAACCTTAAGATATGATTCAGTTCTCCTTTCTGGTTTCTGAATCCTATCCCAAATCTTTAAAGCTGCTGTGCTACATACGGACATAGTGTGTTCATCATAAAAAGATTGATCCTCAGAATCAGAATTAAGTTCCTTGCCTAGAATTTTATCTAGGGAGATCTCAAGTCCTTTTGCTTTTTCCTGTTGCTCTAAAATTCAAGTTGCTTTCTTAAAATAGTACCTCCAAAGTAACTGTGGTCCATTTTCTAAGACTGCTAAGATTAACTGAGTCCAGTCTTGTGGTGTTGCTTTGTTACTGGAAGCCAACATTTTGACCATTTCCCTAACAAAGGATTAATGTAGTCCATAAGCTACAATTGATTGTTTAATTTCCTTTAGATCAGACATACATATGGGCTCCAATGTATATTCTTTGACAACCTTAGGTACTTGGTTCCAGATACTCTTTTTGATGTTATTACTGGAAAGGCAGGGAGAACTCTGGGGAAGTTATCTTAGAGATTTTTACATACCAATGAGGCTAAATTTTGTCTTTGTACATTTTTTCCCTGGTTATCAAATTCAATACATTCCTCAATCTTTTCAAATCTATTTACCACTGCCTTTTGTAAAGTCTGGATCGCCTGTCCAGTATTCTGTTCTAGTGCCCTTATTGAGGATTCCAATTTATGAAGTCTGTCAGGTAGAGATAATGTCTCATTTTTGAACATAATCTTCATTGCATGCATATTACCTTCCTAGAGAGACATTCTACCAGTCAATCTGTCATACTCATTTGACAGAGTATGATTAATACTTTCAACAGTACGGATTATCCCAATGTTTCAGCACCTGCTGTCATTAATTGGGTTTTACTTGCCAAATCGGCTATATCTTTCTCCAGAGTACTGTATTTTCCTTTAAATAAATTACTATCAGTCTGTACCATTTCTAAAAGTACCTCAGTTGACTGAGTTTTGTTAGTTAAATTGTTTGTATCCTTCTTCAGAGTTCTGACCTCTTTTTTGAGAGGCTTAGTTTTAGTCTGTAAAGACTGTACCATTTCTAAAAGTGCCACATTCTTAGCCCTATTATCAAACCATATTTTTTAAGAAAAAAATATTGAGGACAAGACTAATCCTCAGATTCAAAAATAGTGATGTAGGAGGGAAATCATATAAGTCTTGTGAAACCTTGTACATGCTGTAAGTAAAGAGGCTATTGAAACTTTGTTTGGTTAGATTGTCCAACATATTGCCCTTTTAAATTATAAATTCATAATTTATATTTAAAATTACAAATCTTACCTATGGTTGATTTTGAGCTGGAGTAGTTGCAATAACTGTTACCTGTTAGTAGGTGTATAGACTATACACCCCAGCAGAATTTTTCATGCAATATAAAAATTAGTGTGGTTACATTCTATTTCTAATTTCTGAATGATTACAATAAATACAAGAAAAAAACAACATGGTTCCAATTTCCCTTGCATGATTAAATATTTTATGTATTACTGGTGAAAATTAAGTTCCACATACAGTAAAACATTTATAAAGGTACAACAGTAACAGGAGACATTCTGGAGCCAAAGCCTTCAGGAACTTGCCTATCTGAGGTTTACACATCAGTGCCTTGAATTCTGGTGAGCCAATCTCACAAAATCCAAGTGCCACCATCTACTCCTCAGACATGACCACCTGCTGGCAACATTTTAGGTTTTTAATGTCAGTTTAATTCAAAGAAAATTGAAGACTAATTTAAAACTCTTTTTTTTTTGTAAGAGCTAATAACTGCCCATAGGTTATTGATAAGAAAATAATCATTATACAAGCTAAGGCCACGTGATTCTTCCAGAAGCCCCATGGTGAGAGATCGATGCCCTTGGTCATCAAGTATTCTTCACCAGAACATCTGTAATTCAACACACACAGAAGTAACATTAAAGTTTATTCAACACGTTCACTGTTCCTTTATTTTAAAAACTCATAGTTTCAGTACATTATTAAAAATTTCATCAGTATATTTAATTGGTAATCATAATGATGTGCTTACAATTTTGTACTATAATCAATATAAACTACTTGAATCAGGTCCCTTTGTTAATTTGAAAAACCATCTAATAGGTGTAGCTATTGGCACAAAGGCTGAGTTTAGAGAGTCATACAAGATCCAACTTTGTAGTGTTTATGGTGTCATCAGAGATTTCTAAATCTACAACATTTCTCTCTCTTCAAAGTGCAAATGGATGGATAAAGGACTTGTTTCTCCTGAAGCAGAAAACCTCACCTTCCTAATGACACACAGACACTCTAAGAGATCAAAGACTTTTGTAATTCTGCTGACAGAATTCAGTAGACAGTCATACAAACAAACAAACAAACAAACAAAAAAAACACAGCATCAAACTCTAGACCAAAGAACAAAGGGAACTAGGGGTTTCTGACAAGCATTAGTCAACTGCTGTCAACTCCTGTACTAAGACTGCAGTGACGACCATGGATGCTCAGCTTTGGAACATCCCCAGGCGCCCATGGCTATAGATAGAGCCTGGGTATCAGTTGAAGCACAACAGGATGCAGGAGCCCTGACACAGGTTAGAAAAATAGCTGCTGCTAAAAGTCCTGAATACACTACAATTACTGCCCGTATCTCTCCATTCCTGTGTGTGCGTCTCAATCCATGTATATATCCATCCCTATGTGTCTCCATCCCTCTGTGACTCCATCCCTGTGTGTCTCCATCCCTGAGTGTATCTTGGGATATAACAGTCCTCATATCCACTGAAAGGGAATATTTCTTCTTCCTTTTGTGAGAAAAATTCTTTTGTGAGTATGAGAACTGCAGATGGCCCTCCTAGGCTTTACTTTACCCATCCAAGACCTCTTGACTAGAAAACCATAAGAAATTTCTATTAAAAGGATGTCATATGACACGAGGAGAGAGGAGATGTGGAAAATAAGATATCCCCCATATCTGGTTTCTCATCAGCAATTTGAACATAAGTTTGTGTTACTGTTAGTCATTATTATTTTGAAATCCTTAAGAGATTTAACATACCAGCATATTTCTCTCTCACATATATATCAAAATAAAATCATTGAGAACAATCATAGAAAGTGAGTGTATTTTCAAGGCATTAGACAAACATGGTATTTTCTTCTCAACAAAGAGGAATGTGTATTTTTACATTGTAGGAAAAGTCTTCTGATAGGACATTTTTCCTAAACACACACACACACACACACACACACACACACACACACACACACACGCACCACATTTTTTTTCTTAAAGTCATAGCTGTGTGGGGCTATGGTGTGGGTGTGGGGCAGAGAAAATACTCTGAAATCTGGCAGGCAAAGGTGACTCACTTTAGTCTTTGATGCCCTGACATTTTTGGGCTCTATTCGCAGGTGCCATAATTTACACACATGGAAACTTTATACATTTGTAAACTATCAGAGCATCTTATGCCAAACTTAAATGTTCTGAAACAAGGAACTCAAATCCACAATCAAGATACCAAAATCATTTTCAAAATGCTCCAAAAGAACCCTTTCTGAAAATTTTCTACACCACATAGCAATAGGATTTAAATACAGCCATGTGTGCATTGATTGCAATCTCACTCTGGGAAACAGGCAGGGTAAGGAGTGTTAATCAGGAAAGGGTGGATTTTCCTGCTGAGTCTAGTAGCATTCTATGTCCTTGAAACACTGAACTCAAACTTACATTAAAAAGTTCTTACATCTCCCGACTTCTGATGTGTTTCTTTCTGGACAGAAGTTTTGTCCCATAAATTCGTTGTGCATCAAAGCCTGTAACACAAACAGAAACAAGGAAAGGCAAATAGTTTAAGATTTTAATAAGTTTCCAAAAAATAAACACAGTTATGACTTCAAGTTCAATCTTGACTTTAATTTGCAAAAAATAAAAAATAAAATAAAATAAACAAACTCCTACAAAGTTCAGTCTGCCCAGAAAAGCAGTGCCCCTTCCCACACTCAGAAAGTTTCCTTGAAATGATGGTGCTTCCCAGCTACTAAGAAGTAGATAGTCTAAATTTCTCAGTACTATATCCTACTTCTCTGCCAAGTCCATAACCATGTAAACATTGTAAATAAAATAGCACTCTTGATCTATATTGGCAATAATTCTTGTTTATTTTCGTCAAAATCAGTTGTGATAATGGGAGTAAGAAAGTCTGGTAAGATTCACTTACTATAAAGATAGCTTGGCAAAACCTATATGTTTCTGGGTATCACATGGTTTCTTTCCAGAGGCCATGTGACGTCTTGAACAAGTTCTCCTTTTGGCAAGGCCAGGGAGAATTTAATCCTTTTTGGTAAGGCTGATGGATAGTTCACTGTATAATTCTGGGAATGACCCCCAAAGCATATGTGCTACCTGCTCTCCTTGTTTTTCTTACAGAAATTATATTGTTGGTTACCTTTAGTTTCACTTTCTTAGAGCCATAGATGAAATGGCTATTGTATTAGGAAAACTTTACCCTGATGATTCTACTCTGGGTGAGCCAGAGGGGATGTTGTTAAAAATATGCAGTCAGTCTGTTTCAGTTCTTAAAGCCTTTGGTGTTTAAAGTGTAACTCTGAATTCAGGATTCTTAAGAACAGGATGCTGTTTTTCTAACGCACCTGGTGACTAGTTTGGAAGAGTTACTGTAGTTCAGGACATACATATTTATGTAATTGCCCTGGAGAGAATGATTCTAACCACAGAGGTCTAAGAGTAATGAGAACAAATAGAGGATATCAGGAGTTAATGGGAAGAGTCTAAGAAGAGGGAATCAAGCAAAATCACATTGATCCACAATGCCCTCATTTCTAATAGCTGTGCCAATACTGTAGGCATCAACGCTGTAGTAAACTCAGAGGAAGTGGACATGAGAGCAAGAGATAAGCAGTGCCAACTATTATGTAGTTTTCAGGATGACAGGAGAAAACCTGGTGTGTCCCTTATAGAAGATTAGAGGAGTATAGAATGAAGAATGTATTGATTCAGTCTTGGCTGATGACTTGAATGTGAGTGTTTAAATTTGACTATGGCTAAATATTAACCAATAGAGCTAAAATTCTCGTTCACTTTGTATTACACTGTAACCACAACTGCTGCCAACTATTCTACCTCTAGGTGTGCCTCATTAGAAAACTACCTTTGTTGCTTGCTGTACTACTTATTCTTCTAATATTAAAGATACAAATCAAATAGGTAACGATTACCAGTGGTAAAGTCAGGAGATGGAAAGGAAATGAGGTAAGGAAACGAAGTGGCAATTATTGTAATTGTTATTAGAAACTTAATGAAACAAATTAAGGAAAAATTAATTTTCCTTAAACTTAAACAAACTAATGGAAAGTGATTGTAAAACTGTTCATGCAAACTATAGAAAAAAGTTTCAGGCTAACATGGGCCACTTGTTTGAAACAGGTGGTCAGAGTTTTGTTTGGCTGACTTCACACATCCATTCCAGGTTGTTGGATCAATTAAGAGCAAGGCTCCCAGGATTTTCGGTTTCTTTTAATTTCTTAGCACAAACTATCACAGTCCCTGATCTTTTCATAATTTCCTTATTGGGTATAATCACAACTGTTTGCTTTTCATCATCTATCGTCTATCTTTCTCTTTACACTGGGATTTTTCTCAACCTTAATTTTCCGCAAATAACATGTGACTGGGGAAAATCCCAAATGACTCACTGACTTTTGGCTAAAACTAACAGAAAAATTGTTAACTTTTGTTTCTGGAAGGAAAATCTCTGGACAGTGTCTGGTTAGATATTACAGCTGGGAAAAGGCATTGTAAGAATCAATTCAGTTACTACAGTTTGAGACCCCAGTTACAGTGACAGACAGGACAACTTACCGTAAAGCCATAATGAGGAATGCTAAAGTAGTAAATCCATGAGAGGTTCTGCATGAAGTTCATGAAATGTAGGGACAGACCTGAGATAAACTGCAATGAACAGAACCACAAATTAGAACCAGTCCAGGGACTAAGAATTCTAGACAAGAAACTCCCTCTTCAAGACCCCTTCATCCTTCTGACCATTTCTGCTCAGACCAGCTCTTTAAAGAATTTTTTCAGTACTCTAAACAGAATTCTTCAGTCTGCAAAGTTAAGGCTCTTTGTGGGTTTAAAAGATGGACTGTTATCCTGCCTCTGCAGAAGGTAACTCTCAGATGCTTATGTGATCTTTAAAAAGGCATGAAATCTATGTTCAAATTATGCACATCCTTTAAACTTGCAATACTCCTATCCTTCATATTTACATCCTCTTAGATTCTTTATAATATTTAATTTATGTAGGTATTATGAATGATGAACAAGGGATAACTGTGAAGATCACAAGAAATTTGCCCTATCTAGACTTAAGTACACTAGAATATACAAAATGGCTGTTGGATGAGGAATAATTCATCTTCTCTATTGATAAGAGGCTTTCAGTGGGCTTTCCTGCACATCTGGGAACAAGAACAGCAGACTCTAGAAAACTTTACTACCTTCTGTGTCCTCTCATATAGGGGGAAGCATAGCTGTGAACTCCTTAAGATAGGATATGTTTGCATTACAGAATGGCCATACAGATATGACCATATAAATAGAAAATAAAATAAAACTTTGCATGTTCTCAAGGACATAAATCCACCATTGCCAAGCTACAGTAAGCTCCTGCACTAGCAGAAAGAATATGAACATTAACACACTACATCAATCTTTCCATTTACTTGACATGCCTTTGGGGAAAATGTGGGAAATGGTTCCATTTATCAGATTATTGATTTATTTACATTAAGTATGTAATTTATGGGCATGAAAGACTAAGACTGGATAACCAATTACAAGCATTGAGCAGAAGTGTGCTAAAACTGGTAACTGATAAGTACTTAGGAATCTGGAAACTATTTCTATTTCTATCAGCTTTCAGAAAACAAGTGAACACTGAGATTGACTCCTAGTGCTGCACAATTGCATTGACCATGACCTTGGCTTTTCCATTAGAGACAATTGAATAAACCAAATCACCTATGATATGGTTAAAACAGCAGGCAAGTCTCTTACACCAAGATGAAAGAAAGGTTGCAATCTGTCTTGTAGTGGGAAATCATGCCACTTTCTCAAATTTATTATGGTTTTGTAAAATAATCCCAAGAAATGTCTGCTAAGAGCTCACTAAAAAGGGCATGTCAACCACATCACAGGACTACATCAGAGCAGTAACTACAAAGCCTAGGAGGAAAGGCAGCAGCTCCTTCTCTTCTACAGACCATAATAAGCTTTAGAATAAAGCCTCCTGTTTCAAGTCCTGATGTATCAAGTAGGTTTTATGTGCAAAATGGAGCACAAGAAAACTTTTCCTCTTAGAGAAACATAAGTCATACTCACCATCATGAACATAAAATAGGTGGTTATAAATTGTGTTGGTATAGCTGCTACATTCTCCCCTGCTCCTAAAGACAGTGGCAGCGAACTGGCAGAATAAGCCAACATCAAGACAATAAATATCATAGTGAAGAAACCCTTCACATCTGTTTTTACTCCTAAGAAACAAAAAAAAAAAAGATGTGTGATCAGTCCAGCTACTGAAATCCAGACAACTGTACATGTTTCAAGTAATACTTCAATCACCAAAAAGACTTGTAACAATTTTACAGTCATCCTACTAATCATGGGCTCCAATTTAATTGCTTCCTTCCAGGTGATTACATAAACTTCTCTTAATTTGTAAAGATTTATTCTGTTTTAATTCAAGTGTATGTTAATGTGTGTCTGTGGGAATGTATGTCATATGTCTGCAGTTACCTTTGGAGACATCAGCTCTCCTAGAGCTGTGACTATAGCCCTGATGATGGGGGTGTTGGGAACCAAATTTGGGGGTTGTGGGGTTCAGCAAGTGCTCCTAACCAATGAGCCATCACTACAGGCTCATCATATGGCTTTATTTTTACACTTGCCACATAATACCTTCCATATAATGTCTATTCTTTTTTATAAATAATTACAAGCAATTTATGAGATCCTGACATGTAGAGCTCCAGGGAACACAACTTGCCAAATATTCTGTTTTCTCTTACAGGAGAATTAACAAAAGAAAACATTCTTGTTCTCATTTTCCTGTGTTTATCATGATTGTGCTAGTAAAACTAATGAGATCAGTAGTGTGCCGGTTAATTTTTGTAAATTTAACACAAGCTAGGGTCATATGGAAAGAGGTAGCCTCAACTATCCCTGGGCAGTTGTTCCTGGAATCTGTAATAAATAAGGCTAAATAACCCATTAGGAACAAGCCAGTAAGCAGCACTCCTCCATGGTTTCTGCTTCACTCCCTGCCTCCAGGTTTCTTGGTATACTGAAAGCTGAGTTGAAGATTAAGCAACCTTGCAGTGGTTTAATATCTAGAGGACAGGAGAATGCCTCCAGTTTAAGTTTTCCTAGGAAATCACCATGTAACTGCTCTGGAAGAAAGCAATAAGTTCCACAAACTGATTTGTAATCTTTATGGAGCTAATGCTATGAGCCATGCAAAGTCCTGTGTATCTATAATAGTCATAAGGACACAAGTTAGAGTTTGCAGAAGTTGAGCTCCTTGCCTAATTATTTCAAAAGTTATTAATTTGATTATCATGGTGTGTATGATAGATGAGTGATTATGGCTGTGCATGTGCCGAGTTGTGCATGTTCCATGGTGTGCGTGTGCCATGGTGTGAATGAGCTGTGGCCTGCATGTGCCGTGTTGTGTATGTGCCATGGTGTGCATTGACATGATGTACATGTGCCATGGTACGAACGTTCCATGTATATGTGCCATAGTGTGCATGTGTCATAGTGTGCATGAGGCATGTGTGCATGTGCTATGTTGTGTATATACCATGGTGTGCATGTGCCGTGGTGTATATGTGCCATGGTGTGTATGCACCATAGTATGCATATGCCATGGTGTACATGGGCCATGGTGAGCAATGACATGGTATGCACGTGTCATGATATGTATGTGGAGTTGAATGAGATGTTTCTGGAGTGATTCTCTCATCCACTGTGGATTCTGATGATCAAATTCAGATTGTCAGACTTGCAAGATAAGCACATTTACCCACAACCATCCCATGGCCTTAATGACTGGCTCTGAATGATCAATTTTCTATAAAACAAAGTCTAAGCTGTATCAGTATTTATATTTGAAAGTGTGACAGTGTGTATGTGTGTATGAGTGTCTATGAGTGTGTGTGTGTCTGTGTGAGTGTATATACAAGTCTGTGTGTATATCTGTCTCTCTATGTTGTATATGCATGTATGTGCTTGTGTGTAAATGTGTGGGTGTATGTGTGTGTTAAAAGTATGGAAATGCTGAACAAATAGTTGAAAGTGAAGCTCAACCATAATGAACAAATGAATTGGTGTACATATTTGCAATAACTATACATATTATATAATTTCAACAAACCTCATATTCAGTATCCTTTCTCTTTGTAAGATTAGGTAGCACAATGCACTGTATATGTTTATGTTTTTTACACACATACATATGTATGGCATATTATATACTTTTCTATATTTTATTAACATATAGAGTCAGACAGAAACACAGAGAAAAATGCACAGCTGGGCTAGAAAGATGACTCATGATTGAAAATATGTGTTTTTATTTTAGAGGCCCTGGATTCCTACAGTGGTTATTCTGTAACTCAGTTCTTCTGACCTCCCCAGGTACAGCCTTCACTTAGAGCACACACACACACACACACACACTCACATACATACACACACAGAGAGAGACAAACACAGAAATAAAGAAAAAAAATATATGGAGAGATATCTCAATGATTTTACTCATTTGGCACTGTCTGAAATGTATGTTATTTATTCAGTCATTATACTGCACAAAATCTCTTAACAAAAGCACAGTTTCATAAACAGTTTTTGTAATAATTTGTTAACAGGTCTTGGAGGTTTTTCTCTCACTGAACTCTTGTTTTAGATGTCACACAATATAGACATTCATTTCTACTTATTTTCTTCTACTTCAGGCTTGCCCAAGTTGTACAAACCAAAAACATGTTCCCCCAAGAGTAAAGACGCATTTCTCAACTTACCTGCTATGCTGAAAAGTATAACAGTAAATATAATATTTGGCAATAACCTCCTGGGTACCAGATCACCCAGCAATTTCCCAAGAAAATATGATGACACTCTGTAGTATCCACTGGTGTGCTCATGTCTACAGAGACAAAGATCATGTTATACATCCTTAAATTAGTACAGAAGACTACACTGACATCTGCTACCACAGGGAGTCTAACAGGACAATGTCCCCTATTACCCAGGCTGACTCCCACACATGTCCCCATCTTAGAGACCAGCATCTCTAGGCCATCATCCTTATGACATTCTCACTATGATTCTCCCCATCAGAGAACTCTCCCCTCTTTTGTCCACTCTGGGCATACAACAGCCTCTCCAGGGAAACAGCCCAGTGTGCCCACTCTTCCCAGAGTCTCTGCCCCTCTGAAGCTGGTTCCCTGAGGAGCAGCTCATTTGTACCTCACCTCAGACACTGGTCATGGAGACTTCTCTCCTTCCAGTTCTTATGAAGAAGGTGACACTGTCACTCTGAGGTTACAGTGCAGCTTCAGGGCACCACATCCTTCTTTTCTGCTACTCCCACTTTAGGACAGATGCATTCTTCAATAATCTCTCTTTACAACCATGAATCTTTACCAGACACCAAACCTAATCCTTTTCCTTCCTAGCCCTTCCAAATACCAATACCAAGCTCTTCTTTTCCCTCCTAGTGTCTTCATTTCATCTCTGTTTTTTTTTTTTTTTTTTGATACAGGATCACCAGAGCAGGCTGGCTCTAAATTCCATATGTAGCCAAGTATGACCATCCTGCCTCTACCCTAGCCCCAAGCCCCAACTTCTGGGATTAAAGAAATACAGCCATGCTCAGGGTTTTGTGGTACTGTGACTCTAACACAGAATTGTGTGCACACAGAGTCAGCACTCTACTGGCTGTGCAGGTCCCTCAACTGCTCCCTGATGACTCCTCTCCTTGGAATGTACTTACAGGCAAATCTTTGCCATCTTTGAGAACAGGGACTCCTAAGCACAGGTCACCAGGAAAAGGTTCTTCAATGTTTGAAAACCATGGGGGATAACCAGCTCTTTTATATGTGGCTGCTGTCTGGCTCTTTCCAGCCCTGCATCAAGAGGACCCCGATTCTTTTGCAGCTGTACTCTCTAGCTCCAATGGGCTGCTGAACCCACTACACCCAAGCTCTATGAAACCCCTGACATCCTTCTTCGGGGGCATCATGAATATCCTGTGATTTTTTTTCACTCCATTACTACTGCGTTGTCTACAGCACTGAGGTCTGGGGACAACACCACATATCTGAAACATTTACTGAATAGCAGACCCCTCTGCTCTTGGTTTCTCATCCAGTTTTCATTAATATTAGTAATATCTTTACATACTTAAGAATGTAAAGATGGGACCCCAAGAATGATGAATTCAATCTTTCATAATTTACTTACTCTTCAGCTAAACAAGAGAAAAAGGAAAAATATGCTGTTATTTCATGAGATAACATCCTAGGCTTCACTATGACTGTAATCAACTTGATCGCCAACCTCTGATGCCTTCTCAAAAGTAGAGGATACTCACAGAAAGTGATCCCTGTCAATCATAAAGAGCTCTCTGGAAGACATGCTTGTGATACATTCAAAACCTGTAAGCAAAAGGAGCAAGACAGCTCTGCAGGGAGAGAATGGAGGCAAAAAGAAAACAGAAAATTTAATATTAGAATGCTTTTTTTCCAACAGAGCTTATTCCATAGATTAAATAACATAACATAGACTTAAGAAAAAAAAAAAGCAAGACTGCGAGATGAGCTCAGCAATAAAGAGTGCTTGTTGCTCTTGCAAAGGACACAGGTTTAGTTGTCAGTACATACATGGTGGCTCACAACCATCTGTCCTTCCAATTCCAGCCAATATGTTGCACTGATCTCCACAGGTCTAATGGCACATACACAGTAAATATACATCTATACAGGCAAACACTCGTACATATAAAAATAAAATAAGTATTTAAAAAAAAGAAGGAAAATGTGGAACTGTTCTGACTAAAAAGTTCAGGAAATATGAGTCCCATGAATTATTCAGCTCTCTGTTGCCACAGCAGTGTCTATTATTTGAAGTGTGTCCTCTAAAGTCCAACAATTGGATAATGATCCTTAATATAATGATTCTAGAGTATGTGATTTAGAACTTAATTGGTTTTACATGAAATCATGAGAGTGAAGCCCCCGGATGTCATTTGTGTCCTCATCATGGGAAGAAACAGCATTTCAGTGTCTCCCACGAGAGAGCTGAGAGAAGGTGACCAGACAGGAAGAACCTAGGAAAGAATCCTCACCACACTCTCACACTGTAGTATGGAGACATATTTGTTTTGAAATCTACTGACACTGTGATATTCAGTCATAGCAGCCCAAACCATCACTTCAATTTAAAGTTGGAAAGCATCATTCCTAATGTATAAAGAAAGAAACATAAAGATAAATAAAACTCCAAAATGTCTGAACATCTATTTGGCCACTTTGCTTTTAAAAAATGTAAAAATGAAAAACATGGAATAGTGGGGGAATACCCACTCAACAGCTTACTACAAATATCAACTGTAGAAACATTGTTAAAGCGTTGATTATTATCCCTAAAATATGATAATTAACTCTTTGCAGTGTTTCCAAAGTTCTCAAAAATAAATTCAGTCATGCTTATTTATGAAGAAATAATTTATACACACTGATAGGGGATGGTAAGCAGGAGGAAGCCCTTTGGAGTGATCTGGTTTTTTGGAAATACATGTCAGGTTCCTCTAAGACAGATGGTAGAGCTGGATCCTAAGAGTCTGCTACATAGCATCTTTTCAAGGAAGTCAGAGGTCAGTGACTCTTTATCTAGGTACACAGTTAGATATCAGATCAGATGAGGGGGACCTTAGATGTATTAGTTTCCTCATATATCAAAGAAAAATTCAATTTTGTAATCTACCAAAGGCCAGATTAAAGAAAAGGATGAAAAAGAAAAAGACAAGTTAAGCATGGGTAAGACTCTAAGAAAAGCAGGAAGCAGTACTCCCAAGATACTGGAACTTGGGAGACAGATGCATGAGGAAAGTGGCAGGCCTAGGTCAGCCTGGGCTATATGACAAGCTCTTTGCCTTTCAGGTCACAAATGTGGTCCTGCCATTAATGACCAAACAAGAGCAGAGGACCTGTTCTGAGTACCACATTATCAACCATAGAGGAGAGGACCTGGGTTTCTCCTCCTCTCCTAATGAGCCAGTCTTGCTTTCAAGGCTTTCCTATTTGACTTTACTAAACATACAACTTTCTCTCTCTGCCCACTTTTCCATTTCCACACACACTCATTTTCTGGTGTTCAGTGCATTCTTCTTCTCTCTGTCTCCAAAATATTGTGCTCAAGTTTCAATCTGTGTTTACTTTCATATGTTTTTACCGGAAAAAAAAACAAGAACTTAGAAAGGGAACTTTATTGCCTTGGCTAGCTTAACCGTATACAACACATGTAATTTCTATATGATTTTTTAGATTGTATAATTGTAGATTGACAATGTATAGCTACATATTTAAGGTGTAGCACTAATATGTTTCAGCCTGGTAACGCTGTAGCAGTCATCTCACTACAGACTAACTTCTGATCCACACAGAAGGCAATTCATAGAGATGATTTTCATGTTTATTCTTTTCTTCAAAATTAATCAGTGTTTTCCACCTATCAAAACAGATTTTGGAGGCTGTGGCGCTGAACCATTCAGGAAAGTTTCTGCCATGCAGCCATAAGGACCAGAATTTAGATACATAGGACCCGTGTGAAAGTGTCCAGACACAGTACTTCCTATTTGTAAACCCAGAGATGAAGGGTACAGAGGTTGACACTTGGAGATTATGGGCCAGCCAATCTAGCCAAGTCAATGAGCTGCCAGTTTAGTGAGGGACCTGCCTTAAAAAAAAGTGTGTGTGGGGGGTCATCAAGGAAAGCCTGGCATCAACTTCTGACCTCCACATGCAGATACATGCATGATCACTAGCATGCACGTGTATATCCTCACCTAAACATGAGTGCACCTGGAAGAAATCTGTAAATTGCTGTGGGACAATGGTCTCATATCCTGTAAAGATTTGTCATTTGTACTGGTTTAATAAAATGCTAATTGACCAGGGTAGGGCGACCAGAACAGGAGAATTCTGGTAAGAGGAAAGGCTCAGTCTGCAGTTGTCACTCGGACCAAGAGGAAGAAAGATGAGAATGCCTCACTGATAAAAGGTACCAAGCCACGTGGCTAACACAGACAAGAATTATTGGCCAATTTAAGATGTAAGAATTAGTTATAAGAAAGCCTGAGCTAACAGGCCAACCAGGTTATAATTAATGTAGACCTCTGTGTGTTTCCTTTGGACTGAGTGTAAATATAACACACACACATACGCACACACATACACACACACACACACACACACACACACACACACACCAAATCAACAGTATTTCCATGATCAAGCCTCTCTGACCATCAGGTGGTACGCTGAGGCTGTGAGCATCAGGAAGGAAGCTCAGATGAACAAATAGTGGTGTGCCAAACATAAATTGCAACAAAAATCCTATAAATTTTGATCCTGATGAGAAACTATGTTGGGAACATGCTATAGTCATTAAAAAGTTTGGAGATGAAAGAATATCTATAAAACCACATTATAGCTCAAGCAAGACAAGGACCACAAAAGTGACATCCATATGGCAAGTCAAGAAGAAAATCCGAATCTCTTCCTATTAACCCACACTCACAATCCAACAAACCTTATATAGTCCAGAAAATTGTCTCCGGGGCAACAAAAGAAGAATAAATAGGTAAACTAAAACATTTATGCACCAAGACATTATAAACAGCATAAAAAAGAAATGCATAGAAGCGAAGAAATAAATGTGAATCATGTTTGTTTCTGGTAGGGGATTCACATCTCAGAAAGGAAACTATTATACCTCATTATTATTGAAAAATTAAGGGCCAATTAGATGGTTGAGTCAGGAGGTAAGATGACTGCCACCAAGCTTAATGAACTTGGGTACAATCCTTGAAACCCATTTGGTGGAAGAGTCATCTCTTGTCAATTGTCCTCTGATCTCCACATGCATGGTGTAGAACACAAATGCTCGCACAAATACACATACTAGATAAATAAATAAATACTTTTGGAATGAAAAGAAAACATTCAAATTTAAAATGGGAAAACAGGTTATACAGATACTCCATAAACTATCCAATAAATTATGATTCATTTTTCTTTGATATCTTATTCAAAACAAGAAATATTATAAGGGTGGGTGAGGATGTGCACATATTGGAGTTCTTGTGTTGTGCTGGTGAGGATATAAAATAGTACAGTGGGGTTGGAGACTGGATAGTAGTTTCTCAATTAACCCAATCGCCTATGATTTAGCAACTCTTGCTTTCTACCTCAAAGAACAAAAGTCCAGGGCTCAAACAGATGGACTTGTACACTCAGGAGCATGGTTCATAGCAACCAAAGGTGAGAGCAAAGCACATTTCCAGCCATAACGAATGGGAAACAACTCAGCATGTTCACACAATGAACTGTTATTCCGCCATACAGAGCCCAAGGAATCCTCACATATGACATACTTTGATGAGCCCTGAGGATATCATACTAATGGAAACAAGCCAGCCAAAACACATACAAACAACACCAAAACACAGACACTTGTGTGACTCCAATTCAGAGTTCCCACATTAGTAATATTCAGCGACAGAAAGTAGAATGGTTGATGCCAGGAATCAGAAAGGGGTAGTAGGGGGAGTCTTCTTTCAGAGCTGTGGGATTCTATATGGGAAGATGAAAACAATGACCTACATTTAGAGTGTGGTGATAGTTGCATAACATGAAGTTCCTCCATACACTAAAATGGGCACAATGTGAAATGTGTGGTATATGTAGTTACACACTATCTATACTCAAACACATGTGAAATCATAAGTTCTCTCAATCAGTTTTCAATGTACCAACACTCCCTATCACATAATGAAATGATAAAATGTTTACTCTGTTCTTGTGATGAATTCTAGTTCTAATTCTTAATGGTTTTAACTGAGTTTGAACAAAGTGATAGTATTTTTTTCATTTTCTTACCTCTTCTGGGCTTCTGTACAATCATTTTGTAAGGAACTGAAAGGAGTAACCAAAATGACAGCAACTATGATTGTGATAATTACCTTTCAAAAAAATAGAGGAAAAAAATTTCATTATTTTTCCTAATCAAATCTCTCCAGTAAGGAAAACAGTATATTTTGGCCAGAGTCCCTGGAAGAATATACAATATGCATGTCAATAGACTTCTCGTATATTAAACAAAAAATGAAGTTCTTTGCAATCTGAGGCTCCAACAGTGTAGACCTTGGAAAAGCCAAGACTTCTCCCAGTGCTCCACCAGGAATGACCAGTGAAGGACTCATCATTTCCCGCCTGTCCAGACTCAAAATAAGCATACAAAAACTGTATTAATTGCAACACTGCTTGGCCCATTAGCTTAGGTTTCTTATTAACTAACTCTTACATCTCAAATTAACCCATTTTTATTGTTCTATGTATTGCCATGAGGCTCGTGGTTTACTGGTAAGGTTCTGGTGTCTGTCTCCTTAGGCAGCTACATGGCATCTCTCTGACTCTGCCTTTTTTTTTCTTCTCTGTTTCTCCTTGGAATTCCTGCATTTCTCTATTCTGTGCTATCATAGGCCCAAAGCAGTTTATTTATTAACCAATGGTAATAAAACATATTGACAGCTCACATCACTTGCGGAGGTTAGTGAACAAACACAAGTAAGTGTCAGAAAGGGTCCACCTAAACTGAGATCTCAGCTCTGGTGCCAGTGAACATGTGCAGTTTTCTACTTCAGGTGGTTTAAGGGAATTCAGACTTTCTTTACTCTTATAGTTAGAAACAAGTACACCCTAGGCCAGGGGGACAGCTCAGTGGCAGAGCCCTCACAACATACACTAGACACATTTCCTCTAATGCAAACCAAACAAAAAAATTAAAAATGACTCACTACACAGTTCCTAGCAGTGGAATTTTGTGTGCTGAGAAGGGTGAGCTGGTTCTCACCTGTGTCACCTCTGGGAAATCTGTACCTGTGTGGAAAACTCACTTGTTCCCAACTATATAGAATCTTTTGTTTTACTATTTTATTTTTTTCCAATAAGTCAAGTAAATTTTATTAAACTGTTCCTCTATCAACTATAACATCCGTTTCCAATAAACAACAGTTATAGTTTTCATAAATGCTCTGATCACATGACCATTGTGTCCAATTTGATATATTTTACTCTGGTTCTCAACATCAGCATAGAAAATTGAAATTAAAATCAGAATTCCTTGAACATTCCCTTTCACTGCAATTTCTTTTTTATTATTTATTTATTATAGATTTCTGCCTCCTCCATGCCACTGCCTCCCATTTCCCTCCCTCTTCCCCAACCAACTCCCCCTCCCTCAGCAGCCCTAAGAGCAGTCAGGGTTCCCTGTTTTGTGGGAAGTTCAAGGACCACCCTCCTCCATCCAGGTCTAGTAAGGTGAGCATCCAAACAGCCTAGGCTCCCACAAAGCCAGTACGTGGAGTAGGATCAAAAACATATAGTTATCCTCCTGGATATTAACCTTCATCAGGCGATGAAAGGAGACACAGACAGAGACCCATATGGGAGCACTGGACTGAAATCCCAAGGCCAAAATGAGGAGCAGAAGGAGAGAGAGCACGAGCTAGGAACTCAGGACCGCAAGGGGTGCATCCACACACTGAGACAATGGGGATGGTTTATCGGGAACTCACCAAGGCCAGCTGGACTGGGTCTAAAAAAAGCATGAGATAAAACCGGACTAGCTGGACATAGAGGACAATGAGGGCCGCTGAGAATCTTTTGTTTTTCCAAAAATAATTGACCTAGAAAGGCCTCTTTTATGATTCAAATGCCTAAGTAAAAGACCAAGGTGTTTGGAGCAATTGACAGTATAACTTAAATGGTCAGAATATTCACATAAACACAGGGAAGGCAGCTACATGAAAAGGGCAGCACACATGTTAAGAAATAAGTGATGTTTCACTACAGCCAACAACACACGACCTTTCAATATTCAACAGAAACTAAATAACTGAGAATGATATAGTACACTCACAGAAGAACTATGTTCTCGTTGGATAGGGACAGGGATGTAGGTCCATGGTAGAGTGATTGCCTGCTAATGGCTAAGGCCCCAGGATCAAACACTAACACAACAGAATCAACATCATGAAATAAAAGATAACTGCATAAGTGATGGCCCAATGAGCTGGAAGAACCACATTTCTCTGTGACATTCATGTTAAAATAGAGAAAATCTTAAGTCATGATGATCCTTGTTATGCAATCAGTACAAAGAAAAGTAGAACTTCACCTCCTCCCAGTTCCAGTTGGCTGACAGGGAAGAGCATTGTGCAGTCCAGTTACTGTGTGTGTGAGCTGCACTCTTGGAGTAGCTACTGCTTTCACACACTGGACTCCTGATGAGGGAACAGCACTCTGCAGCTGGCTCATCTCAGGCAGTGGATGCTCAGGCTCCCTCAGAGCTGTTCTATGGCCCTGTCTCCTCACCACATGATTTCAACCACAGATCACCCGTCCTTTCCCTCTCCAGTCATCTCCACCCCTTCTCTACTTAAACTTTCCCCAAGTCCATTCTCTCATCTGACAGGCTACAGTTTTATCTGTTTATCCAGTTACCATCCATCCACCCACATGGAAAGTTGGATCAGGAAAAAAGCCTTTCTTCCTTTTCTCATTTCAGGACTTTGAACTTGTAGGATGCACAGGTGAATTAAAGTAGACAGGTGTGAGAAGTTCTCAGGTGTGCTGAATGTGTTTTTGCGTTCCCTGAATTAAAATTAGTACTTGGATTTCTCATTATTGTTCCTCTAAACAACAAAAAAAAAACTACTAAAAGTTTTTCCATAATTAAAAAAATCAACCATGGTCTACTTGATTTATTTAATATCTCTATATGCTAAGCAGAGTGAAAATGAAAAATATATGGAAGGGAGTAGAAGATAAATGTGACCCTGACGTGTATTGACTCAGAAACATATTGTTCCCACTTGAGTTTCACAATTGAAATAATTCATCAGATTACCCGAATTATAGTGGTCCGTGGAAAACCCTTGAAACTTTTAAATGAACGACAGATCATCCACTCAAGCTGATGCCAGAAAGGGGTGACACACGTGATCTCCCCCAAGGCTGAGCTCCTTCTTGCCGTTTGTTCCTCCAAGAGTGGATCCAGTTCAGTTCTCATTTTGCTGTATAAGGAAGACTGTGTATACATATTGGCTAAGTTTTCGCTGACATGGTTCTGTCTCTCAGAAAGCTCTTTATGTTCATTGGCTTTAAGATAAAAGTGGATAAAGTCAAGAAACAGTAATGATTTTTCTGTGATACTTTTTATGAATAACACATCAATTATGTATCAGTTTTTCTTTGAGACAGTCTCATGTACCCTAGACTGGCCTAAAGTTTGCTATGAAGCCAAGGGTGACCTTAAGCTCCTCCAGGTCCTCCTGTTTCTGTCTCAAGTGCTGTGACAGGCATTCACCTTCACACCCAGTTATGTGCTAGGAACCAAACTCACAGCTTTGTGCTTGCTAGGCAAACATTCTACCAGTTGATCTTGATCTTCAGCCTGCAACATTTTTAACATAATAAAATAACTCCTATGTAATTCCTTTACGTATTAGAAAAGTGTCCCTAACTGGCCTGACTACTGTCATTATTCCATGGGTTCAGGAAATTGAATGGCTTTTTCCCATCCAGACTTAACTCTCTTTGTTTGTTTGTTTGTTTGGTTGGTTGGTTGTTTTTTTTTTTTTTATAGATTTTTATTGAGCTCTACATTTTTCTCTGCCCCCTCCCTACTTCTCCCCTCCCCTTCAATGCTCCCCAAGGTCCCCATGCTCCTAATTTACCCAGGAAATCTTGTCTTTTTCTACTTCCCATGTAGACTAGATCCATATATGTCTCTCTTAGCATCCTCAATGTTGTCTAAGTTCTCTGGGATTGTGATTTGTGGGCTGGTTTTCTTTGTTTTATGTTTAAAAACTACTTATGAATGAGTACATGTGATACTTGTCTTTCTGGGTCTGGATTACCTCACTCAAAATGGCGTTTTCTAGCTCCATACTTTTTTCTGCAAAATTCAAGATATCATTATTTTTTCTGTTGTGTAGTACTTCATTGTGTAAATGTACCACATTTTTCTTATCCATTCTTCAGTTGAGGGGCATTTAGGTTGTTTCCATGTTCAGACCCTAATTCTTAACATAGTCTTACTTCTCTTTTGGTTCTATACTTCTTAATGTAAAAATCTGGTCACTTCTTCTGCTTCATGTGAATGTATATGAAAATGTATAAACTGATAAGTATTTTGTTTCTAAAATTCTATAAACAAAGCAAGCATGGTGACACAGTTCTATAATACCTACACTTGGGAAGTAAGGTAGAAAGAACACACATTCAAATCTAGTCTGACTACATAAGCCAACAATAATAAAAAGAATAACATAACAAATAATAAGTACTTTTTAAAAAAATCCTTTTGTGACAATATCATATAAAGGTTCTTTTGTAAATTAAATTTAAAAACACCCAGCACTAATAGACAGCAAAGTCTATTAGCTAATTTTAAACGCTGAATTAACACAAAAGCTATATTCCAATGAGACAGATGATTATGTTTTAATGAAATCAATTAAGCAAAAAGCCTATGACTTTAGGAGGCTCACATACCTTCATGGTCATCTTTTTCTGTGTCTAATAGAGCAGAGAAACCTCCATTAATGATGTTCAGGAAGAAGTCTGCAGGGTTGTTGTGGGAATCATAGTTGTAACCTGCAATGAAGGTAGCCCATGAATACAAAGGTGAGGACCTGTTTGCAGAGAGTGGGAAATGGGAGAGGAGACAGAATCTAAGAACTTACTCCTCTTTTTTCCCATCCCCACAAATTTATCCTTTCTTATTATATATATATACTCATATTATTTCAGCAATCTCTACTTTATAGCTTACTGAATATATGTGTATGTTTATGCTGGTGCTATAACATATATGATATGTACATATACGCATATGTATATATAATACACAGACATAGACAGAGTAGATATAGCCATAGATCAGACATAGATGTAGACATAGACATGGAAATAGACATAAACATAGACTACACATAGACATAGACATTGAGATATGGACATGGAAAATGACATAGACATGCACATAAACATAGACATGGACATAAATGTGGTTATAGACATGGACAAAGACATGGATATGCCCAATGACTTGGTTATGGACATAGACATGTACATGAACATAGACATAGAAATAGACATAGGCATGGACATATACATAGACAAGGATATGGATATAGACATGGCTATCTATGGACATAGACATAGACTACACATAGTCATAGACATGGGCATAAACATAGACATGGACATATACATAGATAAAGACATGGATATGGACATGGGCATAGTTATGGACATACACATAGACAGGGACATAGCTATAGACATCAGCATACACATTGACATATACATGATATGGACATGGGCATAGATATGGACATAGACTACGTGTAGACATGAGCATTGAAATAGAAATTAACATGGATATGGACATAAACTACACATAGACATATACCCAGACATAGACAAGGACATAGTTATAGACATCAACATAAACATAGACATGGACGTGGATATGGATATGGACATAGACTACACATAGACATAGACATGAACAGAGACTACACATAGACATGGACTACACATACGTGTAGACATGGGCATAGATATGGACATGGATATGGATATGGATATGGACATAGACTATACATAGACAGACATGAACATAGACTACACATAGACATGGACAAAGACATAGACATGAGCACGGACACAAAATATACATAGGCATGAACATAGACATAGGTATGGACCTGAACAAGGACATTGACATAGACTACACATAGACATAGATAGAGACATAGATCAGACATTTATATGAAGTATTCCCATAAAATAATCATTTGAATTTGGCCTACAGACTCACAAATGCTTGCAAATTATTAAATGACAAAGATTAATCAAAAACAAATGAATAGTACTGTGGTGCAAATATTTAAGCTTATATTCATAGTCAAAGAGAATCATCCATAACTATATCCATATTTCTCTAAGAAGAAATTAATCACATGAATCATTAAAAATATTTATCATCTAAACTGACTGTGAAAAACTCAGACAAAAAACTGACTCTACAGAAGCCAGACTTCAGCCTCTATAGCCCCCAATCAGCACCTAAACCTGAAAAGCAAAGTTACTAGTAAGTTAAGAAATGCCTCTACAAACACTCAGAGTCAGATTACACTAGGGGAAACTGAAAACCACCGTCTGCTACCTGAGCAAGAACATAATGATGCTGAACCTTTCCAAAGCTGTTTAAAGGATGGATAATAAGCCAGAGGCCAGCATGTTAATTAAGAGGGTCTCCACAACTAGGAAGCAAAACAAGAGGATTAGTAAATATCCTGTAACACAGATATGATACAGGATAGAAGAAAGAAAAGAGGTAATTTGGTACGAAATGCAGCATTCAGTTCCTTGAGGAGGCTGATGCTTTTGAACAATGATACAAAGCCTGGGGAACTGATTACATTTTTGAAAACTTGCATCTCCTTACAGAAAAGTAAGAAAACAGCTATTAATGGTGGCCATGCCTTTAATCCCAGCACTCAGGAAGCAGGGACAGGTGGATCTTTATGAATTTGAAGCAAGACTGGTGTACACAGCTCCAGGGCAGCCAGGACTACATAGAGAAACTGTCTTAGAAAAACCCAGCAAGATTGCATTCCCACCAGCAATGGATGAGGGTACCCCTTCCTCCACAGCCTCTCCAGCAAAGGCTATCATCGGTGCTTTTGATTTTAGCCATTCTGACAGGTGTAAGATGATATCTCAAAGTTGTTTTGATTTGCATTTCCCTGATTGCTAATGAGGTTGAGCATGACCTTAGGTGTCTTTTGGCCATTTGAACTTCTTCTTTTCAGGACCACGGGGGGGGGGTGCACCCACCCACTGAGACAGTGGGGGCTGATCTATTGGGAGCTCACCAAGGCCAGCTGGACTGTGACTGAAACAGCATGGGATAAAACTGGACTCTCTGATCATGGCGAACAATGAGGACTGATAAGAAGCCAAGGTCAATGGCAAGGGGTTTTGATCCTACTTCATGTTCCGGCTTGGTGGGAGCCTAGCCAGTTTGGATGTTCACCTTCCTAGACATGGAAGGAAGGGGGAGGACCTTGGACTTTCCACAGGGCAGGGAACCATGACTGCTCTTTGGATTGGAGAGGGAGGAGGAGAGGAGTGGGGGGAGGGGGAGAAGAGTGGGGGGTGGGGAGGGAAATGGGAGGCTGGGAGCAGGCGGAAACTTTTTTTTTCTTATTCTCAATAAAAAAGAAAAAACCCCAGCAAAACAAAAATAATCAATCCTTGCATGAGTTTTTGAAAAATTAAAGATTATGTTGAAGCTTGAAAGTATAAGAACTTGCAGTTTCCTTATGCAGCATACAAATCTTTGCTTATGGCTTTTTAAGTGAAATTACACATTAAATACCATGTGTCTTTTTTATGGTCAGCGTGTATTTTTTCTATAATCAAAAATCTAATGCCTGTAACTTTAAACAACAAATAAAATATATATTATGTATGAAAACAAAAGTCACTGAGGAAATGTAAGATCTTAGTAGGATTTGGGGTAGTCTAAATTGTTTTATTAAAAATTGTACTTTACTATAAATCCTAATCTACTTAGGTCCTGGGATGCCAACTTCACATGTCTCTCCCCTTGAATAATTTTATATATAACCGAATGAAGAACAACAAAGAAAAATTTTAAACCAACCTATATGGAAAAAGTTTTTTCTCCAAATTGTAAGAATAAAACCTCTAAAAGAAGAGAGAGACCTGCATAACAAGCCTTGCTGCACAAGGAACAGAATTCTGTCACCAAATTAACCAAAGGTATTTAACATACAGTAAGCCTGTATGAGGGCCAAGAAGCATTCCTGAGAACCCCTGTTCTCTCTGCAGAGTCTGTGAATGAAGAAGTTCTCATAGAAAAAGCCAGCCATACCTGCAGATCTGAAGTACTCCAAAGCCTCCTGTGCAGGCCCGTGAAACATGACTTTTCCTGAGGCCACTAAGGTGAGGCTGTCAAAAAATCTGAAGATGAAGTACTGGGGCCGATAAATGGAGAAGATGATGGTCCGTCCCCTCATAGACATCCTAAGTTCAAAGAGGGAGAAATCATAAGTCACTGAACAGAGGAACCCTGAGATTCTCAATAAAATATTTTATTCCCAAAGTTACACTCCCTGTTCCATTTCAGATGAATTTTCCTTAAAAACACCTCATCTCACTTGTATTATACACCTGATAGAGAAACCAAGGTTCAAGCTTTTATTTAAAAGATTAGGACTTCCAAAGTGTGGGACGACAGTAGTGCAGGGTCCGCTCAAAAGTTATCACGTAGATCCTGTAAGTGGGCAGGCTTCTCAGACACTGAACTAGAATATTTGGGAGTCAGTGCAAGGAATCCATATTATGAGCAGGCTGCCCTGGTGAATGACAGGTTCACTGAAGCTTGTAAAGCAACAACAGAGCAAACATTACAACTGTGACTGTATGCACAATTCCCTTCAATCATTCACACTTTCTGTCTCTTCCAGAATTTGTTTGCATTGTTCTGATAATATGATTTACATTTCTAACCATTTTCTCTCACACTAAACACTAGGCAATAACCTCATTCAGTTTTCACAATATCGGCATAATGTGATTCTAATATAATTTCCCCCTTTCTGTTGATAAACTTTAAAGGTCAAGCAACAGACCAAGGGGTCAGTTAGTAAGGGGCAAACTTGGGATTTGATCATTGGTTTAATTCGATGACAGGAAAAAAATAAGTTGAACTACCATTTCAGAACATCTGTGTGAGCACCAATAACCAAAAACTGTTTAAAACTATTGCAAAATATTTTCATGAAGGCTGGGTATTGTGGCATATTTGTAATATTCTAGCACTTGGGATGTTCTATAGTTCAATGCTCATCTATGTTACATGGGACCCTGTTTCAAATAGACAAAATGAAGGAATAAACAAAGTAGATGGGAAAGGAAGGAGGAAGTAGGAAGGTTGGAAATAAGAAATGAAGGAATGGAGAAAAAATGGAGGGACGGAAAGGAAAGGAGAATGAGAGAGCTGTGCATAGAGACAAGATAAGGGTAGAATAAAGGGCATAATAACTGATTACTTCCTCTGAGAAACTATTAATAAACAACAAAAGGAAAAACTGTAATTTCCTATCATATAACCCAGCAACCACCAGCATTACTAGATGATCAAGATTAAAGACAGGCAAACAAGATGGATCAATGGGTAAAGGAACTTAATGCAAAGTCTAAAGACCTGAGTTCAGTCACCAGAACTCACTTGGTGGAAGAAAAAAGCCAACTCCTCGAGTTTGCCTCTGACCTTTACAGGCAGGGTATACATGTATACATGTACACACACAACTCACACATATAGGAAGAAAGTGCATAGCACTAAATGCCTACATAAAGAAGTGGAGAAATCTCACATTAGTGACTTAACAGCACACCTAAAAGCTCTAGAACAAAAAGAAATAGACTCACCCAGGAAGAATAGATGACAGAAAATACTCATATTGAGAAATGAAATAAAATAGAAGCAAAGAAAACAATACAAAAAAAATCAATGAAACAAAGAATTTGTTCTTTAAGAAAATCAACAATATAGATAAATCCTTATCCAAGCTAATCAAAAGGCAGAGAGAGAACATCCAAATGAACAAAATCAGAAATGAAAAGGGGGACCTAACTGAAAATACCGAGGAAATCCAGAGAATCGTTAGGTGATACAAAAAAAAAAAAAAAACCTGTACTCCACAAAATTGGAAAATGTAAAAGAGAGGGACAATATTCTGGAGAGGTACTTATAACAAAATTAAATCAAAACCAGGTGAACAATTTAAATAGACCTATAACCTGCAAGGAAATATAAACAGTCATCAAAAGCCTCCCTACCAAAAAAAGCCCAGGACCAGATGGTTTCAGCTCAGAATTCTACCAGAACTTCAAACAAAAGCTAATACCTATACTCCTCAAAGTGTTCCACATAAGAGAAACAAAGGGAACATTGCCAAACTCTTTTTATGAGGCTACGATAACCCTGATACTGAAACCACGAGACTCAACAAAGAAAGAGAATTACATACCAATCTCCCTCAAAAAAACTGATGCAAAAATACTGAATAAAATTCTGGCAAACCAAATTCAAGAACACATCAAAAAGTCCTTCACTATGATCAAGTTGGCTTCACTCCAGACATGCAAGTATGGTTCAACATATGAAAATCTATCAATATAATCAACCATATAAATAAACTGAAAAAGAAAACCATATGATCCTTTCATTAGATGCTGAAAAAGCATTTGAAAATCCAACACCCCTTCATGATAAAGGCCTTAGAGAGATCAGGGACACAAGAAATATATCTAAGCATTTTTAAAGCAATATACAGCAAGAAAACAGCCAACATCAAATCAAAGTGATTCCACAAAATAAGAAAAAAGACAAGGCTGCTAACTCTTTTCATATCTATTCAACATAGTTATTGAAGTTCTGCTTAGAGCTATAAGCCAACAAAAGAGATCAAGGGTACTCAAATTGAAAAGGAAGAAATCAAGTTTTTGTTATTTACAGATGATGTGATAGTATACATAAGTGATCCAAAAAACTCTACCAGAGAACTCCTACAGCTGTTAAATACTTTCAATAATGTGGCAGGATACAAGACCAACACTAAAAAATCAGTAGCCCTCCTATATACAAATGATAAAAAGTCTGAGAAAGAAATTAGAGAAACATCACCCTCTACAATAGCCACAAATTATATCTTGGAATAACACTAATTAAAGAAGTGAAATATCTATTTGACAATAACATTAAATATTTAAAGAAAAAAAACCAGAGAATATACCAGAAAATGGAAATATCTCCCATGTTCTTGAATAGGTAGGATCAACATAATAAAATGGCAATCCTACCAAAAGCGATCTATAGATTCAATGCAATCCCCATCAAACTCCCAACACAAATCTTCACACACCTTGAAAGAAAAATACTCAACTTCATATGGAAAAACAAAAAAACCCAGGAGAGCCAAAACAATCTTGTATAATAAAGGAACTTCCTTAGGCATCACTATCCCTGACATCAAGCTCTATTATAGACCTACAGTAATGAAAACAGCTTGGTATTGGCATAAAAACAGACAGTGGGACCAATGAAATCATTGAAGTCCTGAATATTTATCCACACACCTATGAACATCTGATTTTTGAAAAAAAAAAGCTAAAATTATACAGGGGAAAAAAGAAAGCATCTTCAAAAATGGTGCTGGCATAACTGAATGTCAACATATAGAAAAATGCAAATAGATCCTTATCTATCTCCATGCACATAACTCAAGACAAATGGATTAAATACCTCAATATAAATCCAACCACACTGAACCTGATAGGAGCAAAAGTGGGAAGTAGCCTTCAATGCATGGGCACATGAAACCACTTCCTAAATATAACTCCAATAGCACAGACCCTGAGAGCAACAATAAATAAATGGGACCTCCTGAAACTGAGAAGCTTCTGTAAAGCAAAGGACACAGTCAAGAAGATAAAAAGACAACCTACTGAATGGGAAAAAAATCTTCATCAATCCCACATTAGATAGAGGACTGATCTCTAAAATAAATAATGAAGTCCAGAAATTAGACAACAAAATTCCAAATAATCCAATTAAAAAATCAGGTACAGACCTAAACAGAGAACTCGCAACAGAAGAATCTGAAATGACAGAAAGACACTTAATGAAATGTTCAACATCTTTAGCCATCAGGGAAATGCAAGTCAAAATGACTTTAAGATACCATCTTACACCAGTCAGAATGACTAAGGTCAAAAACACCAATGATAGCTTATGCTGGAGAGAATGCACAGTAAGAGGAACACTCCTCCATTGCTGATGGGAATGCAAACTAGTACAACCACTCTGGAAATCTGTATGGCAGCTTCTTAGAAAATTGGAACTCAAGCTACTGCAAGACCTAGTAATACCACTCTTGGGCATATACCCAATGGATACTCAATCATACTACAATAACATTTGTTCAACTATGTTCATAGCAGCATTATTTGTAATAGCAAGACTCTGGAAACAACCTAGAAGCTGCTCATCTGAAGAGTACTACTCCGTGCATGCAAATGGATGGGACTAGGAAAAAAAGCATACTGATTGAGGTAATGTAGACTCAGAAAGATGAACATGGTATGTACTCACTCATAGGTGGATACCAGCAAAGGATAAAGAGCCTATAGTCCACAACCCTAGAGAAGCTAAGTAGCAACATTAACCCAAAGAAAAATATATAGAGTTCCACCTGGGAAGGGAAAATAGACAAGATCATCTGACAAAATTGGAAGTATGTGTCTGGTGGGGGGAAGATGGGAGGGCAAAAGGGGAAGAGGAGGGGAGAAGGGGAAGGGGAGAAGAACTTAAAGGAATGAGATTGTCGAGATGGAGGAGACACAGAGATAGAGATCAAGAAAAAAAGATATTTTGATCAAGGGAACCATTGTGGGGCTGGCAAGAAACCTGGTACTAGAGAAATTCCCAAAAATCCACAAGGATGACCCCAGATAAGAACATAAGCAATAATAAAAAGCATACCCAAACTGGCCTTGCCCTGTAGTCAGAATGATGAATATCTTAAATGTCACCATAGAACCTTCATCCAGCAACTGATAGAAACAAAGTCAGAGACCAGCAACAGAGTGCTGGGCTGTGTACCCAAAGTTCAGTTGAAGAGTAGGGGGAGTGAGAATATGAGCAAAGAGGTCAAGATGGGGACACCCACTGAAACAGTTTACCTGAGCTAATGGGAGCTTGCCAACTCCAGCCAGACAGGGGAGAAACCAGCATGGGACCAAACTGGACCCTGGGGATGTGGATAAAAATTGTATGTCCGGTACAGACTGCAGGGCCATAGGTAGTGGTACCAGGATTTATCACTACTGCTTATACTGACATTGGGGAAAACCAATTCTTTTTGGAAGTATACCTTGCACAGCCTAGATATAGTAGAGAGGGCCTTGGCCCTTCCCCAAATCAATGTGCCTTACCCTCTCTGAGGAGTGAATGGGGTGGGGAGGAGGAAAAGGTAAAGGAAATAGGAGGAGGGGACAGAGTGGGAACTGGGATTTGTATGTAAAATTTTTAAAAAGATAGTTTGTTTTCTTTTATAAATATAAAATAAATAAAGTATTCTACAACTAGGATGCTCTTCCGGGAGTGTTGAAGATCAAGGAGAACACAGTATATCAGGGCCTGAGTCTGCTCCCAGAACACTTGGAGAAGCCACTTAGTATGTTCCCTTGCAATGCACTAAGACTAGGCATGCCATAAGACACAGGGGCAGAGAGAAGTATTCCATATTGGAAAAATAAGCAAGAACCTGATCTTAGTTGAGTATCCTTAAGCAATAAGGAAAATGAACAGACAAGAAAAGTGTGACACCTGAGGAGTCTACAGAGTAGAAGGTGACAAGGCCCTAATTGTTGACTTCATCACTGTGAAGGTACAATGGTAGAGTAATCTTGGTTCTTGGAGATACAGGCAAGAATATTTAGGGTGATGGACGACAAACCAAAGAACAAGGGGAAGGAAGGAAAAAACAGTGAGTAGTAAGTCCAACAGCCAGGAACATAGATCAGAGGAATAGAATAGTCTACATGGTCCTTAAGTTTATTCAGTTAGTTTGAAACTATTAATTTCTAAAATGTACAAAACATAATATGTATACTTTTTTCTATAAATATTTGAGTCACGGACTTACTTCATGAGATAAAGAAATACCTTTTCTTTTACTTCATTCTTCCCCTGGTTCAGGACCTAGACCTTAGGAATCATTCCCTTGGCCATCACATGCAGGGCTAATCCCAGAGATAATGTTGTTTATTCTATATACAAAACTATATAGAACCCACCATTGCCTAACTAAGGAACCCCCACATTTCATCCTCCTGCTGACATCTTTACACCCCCATGATGCAACTGAACAACCTTATCCATGATATGTTGTTCTACTCTAAATTCAAAAGCTTTCCCCCAAGCCCTCTCATGGAAAATAAGAGTCCTTACAGTGACCCAATCACTAATCCCTCTCCCTCCAATTGTGAAGGTGGAGGGCTGAATTGTGTCCTTCCAAAGACTCATTTGTGGAATACCTCACATCTAAGAAACTAAAATACAGATATAATTGGAGAAAGAGTCTTTAAAAAGGTAATTTATTTAAATGAAATTACTAGTGTGTCTTAATGTAACTGTTGTCCATTTAAGAGATCAGGGCATAGACACAGGAAGAGCGAGGAGTCACCTTCCACAACTCAGTGACCCAGGTCTCAGTAGCATGGCCTGTTAATACTTTAATATTTGGCTTCCAGGATCCAGAACTTTAAGAAATTTAACTTCTGTCAAGTCACTTAATCTTGTTGTCTTAAGCAGTGCACTAGCAACCTTCCATCCCCTAGGCTATGGGGTTCTAGTCAATGTGGTCTCTTTAATATTCCAGACACACCAAACATGCTTTGCCTCAGAACAAATGAGTTTTTCCTTGATCTAACACTCTGTTCAGATCTGATCCACTCATGCCCAGCTTGCTTGACACTGGCTTGAGGGTTATGGGTACATGCTATTTAAAGCAGTGCTGGACCTTCACCACAGCTGTTTTTACCTATGCTCCTGTCTCATTGTTCTTGATGTTTATTCCTTGTTAACCAAAGTTTCCCTCTAATAAACAAGGAAGAAATTCTGTTGCTTACCTCTGAATCTCCTGCATTACGAGAAGAAAACTCAATGTTCCTTCAGCACTTACCTTCTCAGGATGGAGATGACATCAGTAGTAGTGCTCCAGTCTAAGCCATTGGTGGGGTCATCCAAGAACAAAATGGGATGCTCAGCAACCAGCTCCATGGCTATACTTGTCCTTTTTCTGAGCTCTTTAGATCCAGGCTAAAGCAACGATAACCATCATTATGAGCAAGATCAACTAGTCATTATCATTTGGTGAATGAGACTTTCTGGCAATAAAAGTTTTTTGTTACACCATTATGGGCACCTGGGAGAAGGAGGTGTTTACTTTCCAAGTGAATATAAAGAAGCTGAGGTCAGACTTGACACGAAGCCCATGATAAAAAACAGTTACTGCTGTTTCTTTATCAAGTCACATTGGGTAGAGGGTAATGGTTATCACACTCAAAGACTGGCACAGTGAAATCTCTGTCTAAGGTCGAGGAAGACAGGACAGGAGAAGAGGAAGTATTTCTTGTAATTTAGTAGTCACTTCACCCTTTCCAACACACTTATGACACAGGCAATCTACACAAAATAAACACAACAGGACACCACACACACACTCTAGAGAACACACACACAAATACACACACAGCACAACACACTGACACACAGTCCCACACAGATATATACTGCTTTTTATCAAAAATTCCATGTTGCCTTATTAGAAATTTTTTAACTCCCTTAAGACTTTGCAAATTGACATTATATATGCTGTACAGCAACACATAATTCATGACTCATTCTTGTAGGCAAATCAAAAAGGTGGTATAGTCTACAGGTCAAACTGGCATAGTCTTTGCACCAGTCAATGACTCAGTAAGTGATGGAATAGCAAGGATTATGGGGACACAGAACTACGGAACAATTCTCCCCAAACATGATAACCAAAACCATGATGAAGCTCCACTGACAACATACAACAAAGGATGTTTGTGGAATGTGGATGAGTGTGGTCAGGACAAGGCTGAGGATATAAAAGAATCATTAATTGATAGTTAAGAAAAGAGTTTATAAGTAAACAGATGCCCTTATTTTTATGGATGAGAAGTAAGTAAGTATTCAGGAGTAAGGAACAACCTAATGCTCTTTTAAAATGCTGCAGTAAGAAATACCTTTACTGAGTATGTTGTTGTAAACATTAAGAAACCAGGGGGCTGGTACTATCAACTATGCTAATATGTTGGCTATATGATGGTCAAACTTTTACAGTAACCACATATTGTCTCTACATTTCTTAAATCAAAATCTTATAAAAGAATGAAGAGAAGTCTTAGAGGTAAAATGTATTTGCCACGCAAGCGTGAATCTTGAGTTCAATCTGTGGAAATCACATATAAAGCTGTATGCAGTAGAATGCATCTGTAATTTCATCAAGACATAATTACAGGGTGATAGGAGATGGATCAGAAAATTCAGTTATATGTGTAGGGCATCAGCAAAACAAGACAGACCCTGCCTTACAAACAAGGTAGGAGAAGAGAATGAACCCTTGAGAGAAGTGTCCTATGACCTCTGTGTGTGTGCTATGGCATTCATACACACACACACACACACACACACACACACACACACATGCACACACACACATGCACACGCACGCAGACAAACATATACACATAAGCATACTGGCATGTGTTCACTCACATGAAAGCATGTATCCACGTAAGCACTCACACATACACATATTTCAGAGCATTTTGGGGTCATGTAGAAACATGATGCAAGGAAAACTTCCATTACTCTACAAGGATGACCCCAGCTAAGATTTATAGCAATAGTGCATAGACTGAATTGGCCATCTCCTGTAATTAGATTGGTGACTACCCAACTGTTATTGAAGAGTTTACCAACTGATGGAAGGAGATGTGGAGATCCACAGTCAAGCACTGGGAAAATCCTGGGGAATCACGTTAAGGAGAAGGAGGTAGGATTACATGAGCCAGAGTGGTCAGGGTCATCAGAAGGGAATACACAGAAGCAATTGGGCTGCTCATGGGAACTCACAGACTAAGAACCAATGGCTAGGGAGTCTGCTTGGGATCAGTCTAAGTCCTCTACATATGTGTGTTGGTTGTGTGGTTTGGAAAATTTGTCAGACTCCTGGAAGTGAGAGCCAGGCCTACTCCTGACACCTTGGCTAGCATTTAGATATCTGTCTCTAATGCTAGGTTGCTTTGCACAGCCTTAATAACAGCAGAGGAGCTTAGTCCTACCTCAAAATAATATGCCATGCTTTTTTGCCACCCATGGAGGCCTGCAATTTCTGGACAAAAGTGAATGAGGAGTGGACTGGGGAGGGGGAAGGAGAAGAAAGGAGGAACAATTGGGAGGGAATGGAAGGAGAGACTTTGATTGGGCTGTAATATAAATTAAAAATAGCTAGTAAATATTATATTAAAATTCTTGCAATCTATTACATTTTATGATTTTCAAGAAGTTAATAAATATTTTATAATGTTGTTCTTAAAGAAACAAGTAAGCAACTTAGGGCTTGAATAATTATTCTTAAACACCTAGAAAAGAAAGTATCTTTTGTAAACATAAAACCACATAAATAAACAGATCCAAAGCTCACAAAATTCCATCACCCAGGAAAAAAAGATAGCAAGATAAATGCCAGATTTTCTATTATTCTTTCCAACAAGACAAATATCTTGTAAATGACTGTGGAGAAATATTGTGGGAATCAGCATCCAGTACCTTCCTAGTCCTCACTGCCTCTAAGAAGTCACCACATGAGTTAATCCATGAGAATCCTATTCTGGAGAGCCCATTTTCATCTATATCACCAAATGTATGCTAAAAATACTTCTATATATAATCTTCTCAACAAGCTAGTGTTATTGTAAGAATTATGGCAGCTTGGGAGAACACAAGAGTAATGTTGGAAAACTAAAGGCATATAATTAATTAAATGCTTGATCAGAATCTCCAAAGAATGAAATAAAAAAAATCAATTACTACAAATGGTTATAGATTAGACAGGGCTAAGGATATCAAGATTTTGTTCCTCTTGATAGTTAAGAATTGAATTGTGAAGATAGAAATGTCCTTATTTTTATGGATAAAAAATGAGGGATTGGGAGATGAGATACTAAAAATATTTTTTAATATATCAGTAAAATAATTAATAAACTCTCACAACAACAAGCTGTGAAGTTTAGCCGTCTGTTACCTTTCCTCATCCTGTTAAAGTCTCAGCAGAAAGAGTCCCTTGCATGTTGTATTATCTATAAAACCTTCCAGACGGTCTGGGAATAAATATTAACAGAAGATAAGGAAGCAGGGAGCAAGGGCAAAGTGTATCCTAGTTTCTGTACAGTTGATAAGATAGAAGGTAAATAAGGAGAAAAGTTTTTATTTCAGCATACAGTTCAAAAGTACATTAGACCATTGCAGGGAAATCAAGGCAGGAAGCTGATGCAGCTAGTTACATCCAGTCAGGAGCACAGAGAGGATGAATGCATGCATGCCTGTCAGTGTTCAACTCAATAAATCTTAAGAACAGCGCTGCCGTAGTGGGCTGGGTCTTTCCACATGGCTTAACCTAACCAAGACAATCACCTACAGAAATGCTTACAAGTCAACCTGACTACAGTTCCTCATTGAGACTCTCTTCTAGATAATTCTAGATTGTGTCAAGCTGACAGTTAAAACTGGGCACCACAGACAGGATGAGATAAAAACACAAAAAGAAAGACTACAGAAAATAACAAATACCACACATGTGAGAAGTAAAAGCTAAAGAGACCAAGGACAACCCTGGAGGGGAATAAATGCAGAGTGATCACAGAGCCAGAGTTCTCCATCTCATGCCCTGTGTCAGGGCAGAAGCACTTTCTGAAACAACAAGGGACAAGTCCTCTAGGGGAAGAGACAATAAACAGAAGAAAGCACTTTCTCTCTCTCTCCCTCTCCCTCCCTCCCTCTCTCTCTCTCTCTCTCTCTCTCTCTCTCTCTCTCTCTCTCTCTCTCTCTCCCTCTCTCTCTCTCACACACTCCATCTCCATCTTCCCCTCTCTTTTCCTTTCTCTCACATTTTTTTCACTCTGAGTCTTTCAAGACTTTTCTTCACATTACCTTGATATTTGACTCTTTATCTAGACACAGAAGTTCAAGGACTTCATTAATTCGCCTTCGTTTTTCATCTCTTGTCATAGTCAGTGGAAGTCGAAGAGCAGCTGAGAACTCTATGTTGTCTCTTACAGTCACCGTGCGCATCACCATGTCATTCTTGAGGTTAAGTGGAATTTTAAATTTAATTACAGGTAGTTATAAGTAAGACCATCTCTCTAATATATGTAACCTAGTCACATATAATGAATCCAAACTTAATGCTTTACTTATAAATAGTCTTTTAATTTTTAGAAATTTCAAATACAGAGGAAGTTGCAAACATTTTCACCCCCCTCCCATTTAACTTCTATATACAGCTCAGGGATTTTGGTGATGAATACCTTCAATTATTTGCATAAAGCATCTTCTAAGCAGTGGAGGAATATGAAGGAAGGTTAATATTAGACAACAGTAGTCCTTTGTAGAATTAAATTACAGCTGAAATTATTAATACTGTGCCACACATATCATACACCAATACCTTCCCTTCTTCATGTTCAATAATGCCACCCTCAGGCTAATGAGTCATTGTGCAGAGAAAGCAGGACATGTAAATGTGTCATATAGTGAACTGGAAACACACAAATATATAAGCTGAGCATCTACCAAAACAGAGGCAGGGGAAATCTAAAATTACAAACCCACCACCACTTACCTGTGGCACATAACCAGAAGTACATGTGAAATTGGCAGGTCGAGGTTTTCCATTTATCAAAATATCTCCCGATAATCCTCGTGGATCTTTCCTTGCAGCTAAGACATCTAATAACCTACAAGGGTTACATATGTTGTGTGGTTTACTTCCTCCCTTCAGTAACAACTATCAGCTTTCAGATACTCAGAATAAAAAGTCTGCATATCAAAAGGCTGAAATCTCTCTCTCTCTCTCTCTCTCTCTCTCTCTCTCTCTCTGTGTGTGTGTGTGTGTGTGTGTATGTCTTCTGTTCAGTATGTGCTATAATACATCCTAGAATTGTGAATGTAAGACATGATCTACATGACCAATCCTCTCTGTCATCTGACCTTGGAAACTCAAACAAGCAATGTGTTACTATATTTTGAGAATTAGGCCTGGTGAGAATTAGGACACAAAACTCTTCCTCATCTTTCTAATTTTAATATTATCTTGATGTGAAATTTTCCTCTGTATGCTGTGATTACCATTAATAAAAAGAGAACTGCTTTGAGCCTATAGCAAATCAGGGCAGGGCAGAGTAGAGCTATACAGGGAAGACAGGACTGAATACTAGGAGAAAGAAGGGCAGAGTCAGAGAGAAACCAAGTAGCCATACCAGAGATGGATGGAACTTTAGCTGGTAGGCTACAGCCACATGGTGATACATAGATTAATAGAAATGTGTTAAATTAAATTGTTAGACTTAGCCAATAAAAAGCTAGAGCTAATGGGCCAAGCAGTGTTTTAAATAATATTGTTTCTGTATGATTATTTGGGGGTTGGGCAGCCGGGAACCAATAAGCGGCTCACTCTATACTACACTATCTCATCACATTAAATAATAATATGTCACAGTAACACATGCCAATCAGTCTATCATTTCCTATCAGTAAAGTGACCTAGTAAGACTTTCTGCTCTTGATATAAAGTTAGAATACACCCTCCTGCATGTTATCCAGACTCACATGTACCCGCACAGAGATACACTCATTCATTATTTAAATAACTCCTATAGGAGTTATTTTTACAGCACAGAAACTGGATACAAAGGGCTTGTGTATGCTTTCCATTATACTCACAAAGATCTGCTCCCATCTTGAGGTCCCATAATTGCATTAAGGCCAGGTTTCATGATCCCACTGTAAACACAAAATTACACTGGTTGATTTTTCTATTAAAAAGAAGTTATATAAGCTTAGGGTCTACACTGAATATGCAGTTTAATTTGGGTGAAATTGTGCACATAATAAAACTATAAACTCATAAATTTGAAGTATTAATAGACATCTATTATTTGTAAAAGATGTCAATTGCTAGGGGAAACTCATCAGAAAATGCCTCATAAGTCACAAAACCCCTGTTGTTTATTATTCAAGGCCTTGTCTTTATTGAAACATGGTGCATCTCAGTTCTGTGTCCTTGAAACAAGTAGCAGGATCTCAAAAGGACTCCATCACACACATGGCCTTTATATGCCAAGTATATAACAGCTCCTTGCTAAAGTTTGATGAGAAATGTCTTTATATAGCTCTGCTTGCTGCCTTGTTGACCTTGTCACAAGAAACCAGTGATTCATGGGACATCAATAGCCATACTGTTACTATTAAAATAGAATCAAAAAAATTAATGCATCCTAAGACTATAAAGGAGCACTATCAATAGGATAGTATTGCCAAGTTTAACACTCAAAAACAAACAAACAAACAAACAAATAACCCACCAAAAAAACAAGCAAACAAATTGGAAAAGAAAAATAACAAACCCACAAACAAACAAAAATCACACGAAAACAAAGTTAATAAAAATGTAAAATCTAATAAACACTCACAAAATGATGATTTCCTTTCCTGATAAAGAGATTCACATCTCCTCAGTTTAGATTTGGGAGACATCTCTCATGTAGAGGACATTTATTGATCTATTGGTACAGTACAAACACAGCTGTGTTTGGAAATTGATTGATTCAGAGTAGTGAATATCTAGATAGAAAAAAGGATAGTCTTATAGAAACATAGCTACATTCCCAATTGTTATCTCATATCCAGACAATGTGTCAATCCTTTGCCCTACCCATTCCCCTCTTAGTAAGAAAATGATGGAAGTTGTAGGCAGAGGAGCGGAAACAACTAATGCCCAAGAACAGCTGCGATGGTTGGGGGCGGGGATCTATTCAGACTGTGTGGGGAAATCTTAGATATGTGTTCTGTCCTCAGAATTGTTTGGAAACATGGCTTCTCTATGTCATGGAACAAAGTGTGAAATGTTGGTTTTGGTTCTTTTCAACACTTAATGAATTTTGAGCAAATAATTGAGGACCTGGACTTTCTGTTTTTTGGGACATCCTCATTGCTTCCATCTCATCACTGGTAACTGACCCAGTCAGCCTGTTCTAAATGCTCAGTTCAGTTTAGGGAGGGGATGTTGGTGTGGGACAATTCTGTATTCTGTCAATTATACTTTAAATAAACGCTGATTGGCCAGTAACCAAGTAGGGAGAATAGGTAGGACAACCAGTCAGGAAGTAGAGGTGGGCAATGAGAACAGGAGAATTCTGGGAAGAAGGAAGCTCTTCTTAGAGTTCTGCCCAGACCACAGAAGAAGAAGGATGTGACCTACCCCACTGAAAAAGGTACTGAGCCATGTGGCTAACATATATAAGAATAATGGGTTAATATAAGTTATAATAGCTAATACAAAGCCTGAGATAATAGGCCAATCAGTTTACCATTAATATAGTCCTCTGTGTGATTTCTTTGGGATTTGTCAGCTGTGGGAATTGGGCAGGACAGAAACCTCAACAAGCAGGCCCTCATGTTACAGGATTTGTGTACAGATGTGTACATAATTCTTTTATGTATTAAATATATAGGTATTAAATTTTCAATATTCTTTCATCCTACTTTGAATTTAACTGTGTGTCTTTGTTATTATGTTTTCATATCAAATTGTAGAATTAAAATAATGTCTTGTGGATTTTTTCATAATATGCCTATGGGTTTATCAAACGTGTTTGTATTTTCAAAGAACCAAATTTTGTGTCATCAATCCATTATGTTGTTCTTTTAATCTCCACCTCAGTAATTTTACTGTGATTATGAATCTATCTTTAAGTATGACAAGGTGAGGCTGGTGAATGTTGTATTGCATGAAGCACTTGCTGAGGGAGGGTGAGGACCTATGTTGTCCCCCAGAATCCATATAAACTTGGGTAGAGTGGTGGGCATCTGTAACTCCATGCTCTATGGAGAAATTAGAGACAGAAACAGGAAAATCCAAGGACACTTACAGACTGATATCCTGACATAACCATCAGTGAACAATGAGATATTCTGTCTGCAACATGGTTGAAGGTGAACACCAATGCTCAAGGTTGCCCTGTGATGTTCTTGTGCCACGTATGTGTCATAGCATACACACATCTTATGTCTGAACACATACACACTTATTCAAACACATAAGCAGATATATACACATACAAAAACACATAAAAACACTCACAGAGATTATTAATAATAGAAAAAGTTTATGTTTGTTCAAAAATTGTTCAATATACTGATCTATTTAGTTCATGCACATACCTCATATTTGATAGTCTTTCTATCACACATGTTTTTTTACAAAATGCAAAACCACTTTGCACTCTTTCTTGATAGCTGATGTTATGAAAACTTAGCACAGCCTTTCGAGTCAATATGTTTTGGTCACTGGTGTCCATTCCAGGAAGGTCATTGGGATTTCTTTCTATCATTGGTATTGCAACAGGGTCAGTATTGGAAGACATCTCCAGAGGTTCTTCCTTCCTATAGAAGGAACAGAAATTGTATATGATGGTCCACACAAACATTATTATTGGATAACACAGTACACTTAAGGATTGTTTTAATCTGTGTAATCACAGACAGATCCCTTCCTGATGAACAGCACATATGGCTGTGATTACCTAAAGACCCAATGAGAAGCAGACAGAAGGATATATTGACTCCCCTTAGATACCAAATTCCTAAGAAACAAATGAGCTCTAAGGAGTAGAGCATAAATATTATTCATAATTCACAAAGGAAGAAGGAGACAGATGAGGGGGCAGATTTGTCTGTGGCCAGAGGCTGCTTGATCTTTCCTGGCCACCCAAACCTGAAATAATCACACAGAACTATATTGATTACAATACTGTTTGGCCAATAGCTTAAACATATTTCTAGCTAGCTCTTACACCTTAAATTAACCCATCTCTATTATTTTATATTTTACCATGAGGCTCATTGTTTATCAGTACCTGTGCATGGGTGTCTTACTCCTTTGGTGGCTACATGGTATCTCCCTGACTCTGCCTAATTTTTCCTTCTGTCTGCTTGGAATTCCCATCTTGCCTTACTCTGTGCTTCAATAGACTCAAAGAAGCTTCAATAGGCTCAAGGGTATTCGCAGCAAAGAGAGGGGAATTCCACAACACCTTGCCTTTTCTGTCTAAGTAAAAAAGATTTTAACTTTAATATAGTAAAATTACAAAATTATCAGAATATAAATATTGTAATTATAATTACAAGAATTACAATTGTAATAGCAAGAATTACAGTTATATCTACTTTATCTTTTATCATAGCTAAGGTAAACTATAATTATGACTATTTATTCTTCAACTTCATCAAAGACTCCAGAAAGATATAATATTACCTAAGTAAACATATAGTGCATTGTAAGCAACTTCCAAAACTCTTGAATTGACAGAAATCTTACTGCCTGGGCAGTCACTCAAAGTTCTGTAACATTGGAGCATCCGTCTTCAGTGTACAGGTCCATAGTGTCTGGCAGAATTTTCCATGAAGCATGAAATTTCACAGACAGTTCCACGTAAATTGGCAGTTTGTCAATAATTTTCTTCTGTGTCCTGCAGAATGTCTGGCAGGCTCCTTCATGAAGCAGGAGACCTGAAGGACTGTCTCACCTTTAGGTAAGCTCAGGAGTCATTTTTCTGTGGGTCCTGCATGTCTAGTACATACAGCATACCATCAATCAGTCCAATAACAGTTTCTTGTCCAAATGGCTAATCAGCTCCATAAGGAGACTCTTTGATGCCTACCATCCTGTGAAGTAGATTGGTGCTACCAAGAGCAAATGTGCTTTATTTTCATGAAAAGTCCTAAGTTTTTAAAACATTTTAATGCCATATTTTGTTAGTCTCTGAAAGAGTTGAAGAATACCTAACTGAAATATATCTCTATATATCTAGAAAACCTAACATGACTATAAGATTGACTACTATAGATGACTATCTATTAACCTTTATTTCTTAATTATCATTACATTTTTAAATGAGCATCACAAACACAATACCTTAATCAAGTGCAGAAACATACATTTACCTTAAATTTGTAAAAATAGACTAAAATCCATACCAATGCAAAATATGCAAATCTATATAATATCTCTCTTTAAATGTAAACAACATTTATAAACAATCATTTAGGGAATTTAGGCACAGTTTTCACCAAACTGCTTCCTGCTTTTTATTGGGCAAAGTAATTTTGGGTGTTTATGGTGACCCTTTGGGGGATCTTGGTCTATCAAACCATGTTAGTATGGAAAGAAAACATAGTTTCTCATCTTCTGTAGAAACAAAACAGAACCTCTTTTCCAAAGTAACATATCATTAGACCCCCAATTTTAAAATACCTATGCTGGTTTAGCTTAGCTGTCCACACAATGAAATATCTCTCTGTAGTTAGCTCATTCATAGTAAAAAAAAAAATTAAAGAAAACACAATAATATAAATAATCTAGACTCTCTACACATTTTCCATATTTATGTAGTTTATTTTACTTTATTACTTTTTCTACAATTTTAATATTTTTTATCTTTAACCCTTTAATCTATGACTATCTATACATACTCTTTTATTTTATAACTGCCTATACTATTTTTCCTCTGTCTTTCAAGCCTACATACATTTATCCAACACTGAGACCTATTTACAGGACCTTTCCACACTAATCTGTCTTTATTGCATATTTGCAATTATTTTTTGACTAGGAGTGGATTTTTTTACGATAAGCAGGTATGGCTAGGACCAACTCTGTGGTCCTGCTTTCTTGCTCTGCCCAGTCCAACATGGCAGAGGCATGTTCACTGCTTCTGAGAGCCATGAACACAGCCTCATTTACAGGCACACAGAGGGTAGTGGGTCTATGTTGCCATTAAACAATTAGTACATTGCTCACAAACCCCATTTAAATGCTCCAGCAGAAAAGTCTCAAAAGAGACAGAATCATTCATGCTGGTGAACCAGGAAACCACCATTTTTAAAGCTCTGTACTTTTCTGCTGATGAAGCAAAATCAGGAAACCTCTTAAAGGAGTCACGTCCCTGCTTCCTTATTAACCAATGGTAGTCACGGCATACAGAGTAGAATCTCAGATCATTTGTCTTGATTGAAAAGTATATTTTGATATAATGTATTTCAAAGGCAGATATATGACCACAACTACCACATCTCCTCTCTGTGTGTGTGTGTGTATGAGAGAGAGAGAGAGAGATTTTTACAACTATCATAATTTGTTGGACTTGTACAGAAAACGGGACAAACAAATTTTTGGCTATTTTCAGATTGCACCTTCAGTTATTAGGCAATTTTGGACAGCCAACAAGATGAACTGCTAATAATGACATCATCATTGCTTTAATAGGTATGTTGTAATCTAGGAAGACATGGATTTTAAAGTGACAGGGATTTACTAAGCAGTTTAAGACTTTAAAGAAAAACAATACAAATTAAATGTAATTGTCTCATTTCACAAGTTATTGATGTCTGCTATAAAGTAAGGCCTTCAGTGAACTCAACTTAGGAACTAGTTTAAAATACCATGATGTAGGTGGGTCTTCTTTCTATGTGTTGCTTTCATTGGTTAATTAATAAAGAAACTGCTTGGCCTGATAGGTCAGAACATAGGTGGATGGAGTAGACAGAACAGGATGCTGGGAAGAAGGGAAGTGAGTCACACGCCATAGCTCTCCTCTCTGAGATGGATGCAGGTTAAGATTGTTACCGATAAGCCACCATCTTGTGGTGCTACACAGATTACTAAATATGGGTTAAAACAAGATGTGGAATTAGCCAATAAGAGTCTGGAACTAATGGGCCAGGCAGTGTTTAAATGAGTACAGTCTTGGTGTAATTATTCTGGAGCTAACCTAGCTGTGTGGGAGCCAGGCCACAGCCCGCCACTCCCATCACTACAATATCATCTTCAATATAGCTAGAAAGAGAGGTATATGAGAGCATAAGGAATCTGCAGGACTTGACGAAAGGGTCTGAAGTGTCGCTACAAGAATGCTTGTGGTGGGAGACAGTGCAGAAGACAACACTGGCCTGGACCTGAGAGCACAGGTTAGAGTAGTTCAGCATTTCTGAGCCCAGGGAAGCAACTCCAAGGTTAAACAGCCTGCCCTGGTAATGACAGGCTGGCAGGAGAAACATATCAGTCTCATAAGACTTAAATCCAGCACAAGTATTTGGCCTAACACTGTCTCCTCCCACATGGCAGAACAGTACTTGGAATGAACTCAGTGAATCAATCACTGTCATGGGGGATGTCATGTAAAAAACATGCATGGATACACTTATGTCAGCCACATATCAGACTACTGAAGAACAATGTATTCATAAGCAGCATCAACTTTCTTGCCTTTAATTTCCCAGGCACTTTTGTTTCTTCTGAGGCCTGTGGCTTTTGGCAAGTGTAAACCAGTTCCTTCTCATCCTATAGACCAACATTGTCTCTCAGATCTCAGACTGCATTGAGCACACAATACACAGTGTCACCCATAAAGGCTTACAGTGGTGCAAGGGTTAAAACAGAGCTGTGGAAAGGAAAACAAAGCTAATACACATGCAGCAGGGAGAGCTGTTTTGGAGCAGGGTGAACAATAAATACACAGTTGTTTCACGGAACAGTGTCAGTTCAAGATAGAGAGATGGTTCCTGGGGCAGATTTCTCCAAAGCACAGAACTGACTCTAGGCAAAAAGATCTGAGCAAATGGGAACTCAAGTGACTCACTTCAATTTGGGCTGTTCGTGTGAGCAGAAGTCCTGAGGACAGCCGAGAGTTTGTTGCCTTGTGTCTAGTGATGCACACACCAGGTGGCCTGATGATGACTCAGTGGGTATGATCCAAGTGTGAGGGCATTGCAGCACTCATTGCTCTGGTGTATTAAACAAGCACAATAGGATGGTTTCTTAGGCAACTTTTTCAAACATTCATGGGTCTAAGTGTTGCTGGCCTGATATTTTTTATAGGTAGGAAAAATTGTTTGTATTAATGAGTTACTTATCAGCATAGGTTTTGCTGTCTGTGCTGGACACTTGCACATATAAGGTACAGAGTTATTTTGCCTCAGAATTTACTTCCAAAATGAGGCAAATTACTGCTGTATAAATGGAGTCATTCAAGACAAGGCACACCTCCTGTCTGGAATAATACAGAGGAACACAGATGGGCACAGCCCGTGACCTACACACTCCTTCTCAAAGTGCCAGAAAGCAGGAGATTCTATTTTCTGAGTTTGAGATCTGGTAGGGAACCAAAATCATCAAGCACAAGCCATGGTTCCCTGGGATGCACTGGTTGGTAGGCATTCATGGGCCACAGTAATGGAGGTGTGAGTGACTGGCAAACAGCCCTGCCTCCCTATGGATGACTGATGGGCCTCAGAGTTCTGAGCAGTGCCTGGCAGATACTTTGGTTTCTGAAACTGACTCGTGGTACAATTTGTGTGCCGCAGACAGGGGCTGAGAACTTTGAACCTGAGTAAAAAGATTACTGAATTTCCACAGCTTCTTCTTTATTATATGTGGTTTATTGCTGGGCATGAAAATGCTTAGGCGAACAGCTTTGATCCCAGGATCTTTCTCCATTGTGGGCCTCCATACTCTGTTTGCCATCTACACTTCTCACAAAGCATCTGGTAAACATGACTTTGTTTAGAGAAACCTACAAACAGAAGTCCTACCTGGACCACAGGCCACAAAGAAAGACATCTGGGGTTAGCAGTGGCAAAGACTATACAAATCCTCACATCAGTGTGCAAGCAATATTCAATCCCACAGGTATACAAACAACAACAATAAAACACAAGAATGTGAGGAAACAAAACTTTCTCAAAAGATCATAACTTGTCAGCAACCGAATCAAAAGGTATTTAATTGGATAGAGTGCTGAAAAAAATATTCAAAGGTTTATTTAAAAATTATTACAACTTCAAAAAGATGGAAAACTGAAGGAAATAAGCAAAGAAATATAGAATATGAACGAGAAACTTTAAAAAATGCAAATCTTGGAATAGTTTGCAGATACAATTTTAAAAACTCAGTAAAAACCACCACCAGTAAATTAAATTAACTGAAAGATAAAAATACAAGAGCTTAAAATACAAGGTTAATAAGTTATTGCATTCCTCTTTATTCACGAGTAATAAAGAAAAACTGGAGATGACCTCCAGAACATAACAGACAGACCAAACAGGAATGTTTTTTATTAAAATAGAATGCTAAAACAGAGACTAAAGATATAGAAAACCTATTCATTCATGCAATATCCTAAAATATTCTGTATCTATTGAGAGATTAAGACATTAGGGTAATTAGTGGAGTTAATAAATTACAGAGGTAATTTTGACCATATGGATATGAGCAGAAAATAATATTGTCATACGACACTCTTGGTAAAATTCAGGGAGTTGAGAACAAGAAAAGAAAATCTGGAAGTTACTACAGAGAAGACCATGTTACTAGCATGTACCTGGTTGGCAAATCAATCATGACAGCAGAAGGTTTTTTGACAGAAAAGCTAAAGGCCAGGGTGTGTAACTATGTATTTTGAGTCCTCAAAAAAAAAAAAAAAAAAAGACAACCAATGTGAGTACATGCAAATTTTCCTTCAAGATGAGCACAGCTAAAGCAGTGCATGACCTCAGAAACAGCAGTGAAGGCGACACGGGAAAATAAAAACACAAAGGAAAAAGACAGAAAGCTATGATCACAAGAGCTCAGGAGAAAATAACTCCTGTAGTTCTAAGGAATCAACAGCAGTAACTCAGAAAGTGTGCTGGTTAGCTTTAGTTAGCTTGACACACGCTGAAGTCATCTGGGAAGAAGAATACTCAGCTGAGGAATTGCCTGCAACAGATTGGTAAGTCAATGAGGCATTTCCTTGATTGATGATTGATGTAGGAGGGCCCATCCCAGTTTGGGGTCCTAGGATACTTAAGAAAGCAGGATGTGCAAGCCATGAGAAGCAACTAGTGAGCCATGTTTCTCCATGGTCTCTAATTCTTGCCTGAGGTCCTGCCTTGGCTTCTTTCAGTGGTGGATTATGATGTGGAAGTATAAGCCAAATAAACCTTTCCCTCCCCAAGTAGCTTTTGGTCATGATGTTTTATGACAGCAATCAAAAGTCAACTGCCAATGAGCCAGCAAACATCTAAGATGAGAGAGAGAAAAAAGAACATATAGCAACTAAAAGAAAAACAGAAAAATAGAAGGTAAAGAGAAGCCAATCAAATTATAGTATTTCATTCAGTGCAAACATTTTAGCACTAACCTAAAAATAAGTAGATTCAATTCTTGAGTAAAAGATGAAATTGGCAGGCTGAATTGGAAAGCAGAAAACAATAACAAATTGTTTATTGCAGCGGGAAACCCAACTAGCTGGCAACGCATATGAAAACTGAAAGAGAAATGATGGAAAATGGCATTTTAAGCAAACAGAGTGGAAATCTGTACTCTTACCTAACAAAACAGACATCCAGTCAATGTTGGGAAAAATAAAGATAACTACATATTAATAATTGGAACACTCCATCACACACTTTTAACAACTCCAAAAGGTAATTTCTTATATCCTATCAGCTCATAATGAATTGTAGTAAAAGTCAACAATAATAGAAAGCACAGAATCACATGATGAAAGAACACTGTGTTTTTGCAAGCATGGTCCAGCATATGCAAATTAATAAAAGAAATTTAGCACATAACATGATCCAGGATAAGTATGATATAATCTCAATAGATGTAGAAAGTCTTTAGAAAACTAAACTCATTCTTGATCACAGACCTGAACAACTAGGAAGAGAAAGCTCATTCCTGCACACAATAAAGAACACTGTGGTAATCCTTGCAAACAAATATACTGAATAGGGAATAACTTAAATCAGTTCCTCTAAATACAGGATAGAGCCAGGAGCAACCATCCCTCAACTATTGTTTACTGTTTGGATCCTCAGAAAAATACGACGAGAGGAGGAAGAGAGATACAATCAGGAAAGGAAGAATTCAAATTGCCTTACTTGTGGATGAAATGCTTTTATATTTAAAATCCCACCAGGCTGGCAGAGCACTTGCCTAGCATGTGCAAGACTCTGGATTTGATCCTCTGAACTCATACCAAGAAAAGGGTTCTGAGAACCACCCAGGGTCCAGCAAGAGGTGTCTGCAGGTAAATGTACCGGCTGCATAGGATTGGCTATCTGAGTTCAATCCAAGAACGCCATGGAAAGGGGACTACAGTGGCATGCCTTTGCGATCCCAACACAGAGATCTCCTGGAAGCTGAGGGGCCAGCTACCCTGGAATTGGCAGCATGGAAGAAAGTACAGGAGAGATCTCCTCAACAAGCTGGAAGAAAAGAACTGACTCTCAAAACGTTATCCTCTGATATCCACACACATTGAACAGTGCCCTAACCCCACTGCGCATCCCCTACACACACACACACACACACACACACACACACACACACACACACACTGCAAATACTGAGAGAAACTGTGGGAAAGCATATCTGGAATAAATAAACAGAGTACATTATGGAGATATGTTTGCACACCTCTGAATATTCCCATAGCCACACAACTGTGCACTGTAAGTCGGTGAGGTGTGTGATGCTAATTATACTATAAGAAAGCCATTCCTGTCGCCCACACTCACTGCTGTCAGATGCAGGGGAAGAGGAGCCTCTCAGGCTGCTGCTCAGCTTGTCCTCAGCCTCTGCCTGCATCAGGAACTTCAGGGAAGGAGAGTGAGCCTGGGCGGAGCCAGAAGAGAGGAGTGGAGCTAGCGCCACCTTGTGATCCATCCGTATTCACTTGTACTATGTTGTCCTGGTCAGGCAACAAAAAGAGATCTGGTCAGTCTGCACTGAGCCCTAGCTCAGACACACAACAGCTGAATTTTGGAGAGCCAGTCCTCAAGAAGAGAAAAGAGGAAAGCAAAGCAAAGATGTCTGTCTGTCTGTTTTCTTTCTTTTTTAATAGATTGGCATTGTAGGTCATAAGCAGGAGGGAATATGCTTAACACAGAAAGGGACACACAAGGGGGTCAGGACAGCCAAGGGTATGGCTTGTTAAATACCCAGGTTGTCTATATAAATTGATTTATAGCTTCACTTTATATCTGAAAAACCAATTGAGAAATAATTCACCGTTCACGATTGTAATCCCTGTGACTGACTGGCTGAGGCAGGATGATTTGAGGTTTGGGCACCTGGGCTAAATATTGAACTCTGTCATTAAAGAACAAGAAGGGGCAGGGAGGGGGACTAAGTGCAGACTGTTAGCCTGCAGTCAGATGGTGCAGTGTGCAGCGTAGGACACTGCACAGACCAGAAAGTTAATGTTGAAAAATATTAATTTCATACTCTTATAGTCTTTCTAACCTTTTAGCATGAGTGGGGAAGGGTCACACGAGCCATCGCCCTTCAGCTGAGGAGCTGCAGACAGGTGATGACTGTCATGAGAGGGAGAGTTGGTTCTCTTTAGGAGTGTGTCCTTGGTATGTCGACTGTCCAGTGTATTATTCTACTCCCATGTGTGCGTGGCAGCACTGACTGGACTCAGTGGGTTAGTGAAGAAAAGGAGAAGGGAGGTAAAGAGGGAGGGAGGGGAAGAAAGGATGGAGGAAGAAGTTGTTGGGAGGGGGCTTTGGGGGGAATTCTGTTGTAAAGTACCAGTGGAGGGTGAAAGAGGCTCAGTATGATTAAAATACATCATATGTATGAAATCCTCAAAATTCTCAAAAACTAATAATTGCACAAGTTTTTGATGACATTTACTTTATCAGAGTATGATATAAATACAGAGAAAGAGCATGCTGAGCAGTGGCCTGTGTCTGTAAGCATGAGGACTTGAGTTCAGATCCAGCACCAGGTAAAGAG